TAAGCAAATGACATCTACATACATATATACATACACATATATTCCCTTGCAGGAAAGTTACAATATTTTAAGCTGACCAATATGAATCATGGTTTGGTCCATTGTGGAGTCGTGAGATACATTTATCTCCAGTCATATTCAGGTCAGACCACTGTATCCTATAATGTCATTTGCTATTTACACCAGGGATTCTCCCCCATTTTAAAGTACGCTAATAGTATACCGGGCGCATTTCGTGCTTCACGTTCATCTAGTTTATCATGATCAATATGTTCTGTAATTTTAAAATTGATGCTCATACTGATGCCCATCAACATGTATTTAGACACAATGTTAATGGTAGAAATATAGCTTTTGCACACTTATGATATTGCATTGTTTCACAGTTTTAATAAATTTTGTTTAATTTTGTGTTTCTATTTGAAATTCTCATTCAGATGTCAAATGATATCAAGTTTTTCCGTCATTGACCATGCAACACCATGTGTTAGAGATAATTAAAAAGTATTCAATGCAAGACTTTCACTCAGAAATGAAATCTCAAATTAGAATTTCTTGTAGTTGATTATGCCAGTTACTTATAAATCATAGTCTATACTAGTTAGTGTACTCATATTCTCTGACAATTTTCAAGCCATAAGCTTTATGTTGTGGTTTTGTAGTTATTTCAAAATGTGATTACATATACCCAGTGGGTACAAAACGTCCTGAAAATGTTGCAGTTATGTCAGGACACAACGTTGCATTTAGGTAACAGTAATATTGCAAATGTAAGTTTGCGGGACGTTTTCATGTAAAGTTGGTATAACGTTTGTGTGTAACATTTGACAACGTTTTATTAACGTTCGTAAAAACGTTGTCGCCACAAATATCTTAAATACATACACATACATGTATGCTATGCTGATATGAGTCACGGCACATCAGCATAGCATATGTACTTAAGACATTTGTTACGAACCGTAATGCAATTGAATACAAAACAACAAACACAACAGCATTATAAAAGTGCAAATGTTTAATTGGCAGTTTGAATACGTTTGAGTTAATAATTGTATTATACGTTTGTTCGTTCAGTCTGCATTTTGACACGGTGCACATCACTTTTTTGGACTACACATTTGCACAGATGATTGATAATAATATTTACTAACACGAGAATACAGTCATGTCAGATGTTTACACACACTCTGTCGATTTGTTTGTAAACAAGTATTAAAAGTGTCAAAATGCAAATTGTACGAAAATCTTCAACAATTACTTACCTAACGAAGTTGATATTGAAACATCTCCAAACATTCAGACTGTGAAGCTATCTGTTAACAATAATCCAGTTTGAGTGACTCCCTATGACCGGTGGTCAGTTTGACCAGTTTGAATAGAATGGGCAAACAAAGTAAAAAATACGGCGCAAATCTATTTTTTTCCTGTCTTTATACGCCAATTTAAACATTAATAATGTAAACTCTCTGTTATTTATGATATTTTTGAGCAACTTCGATGCTACAATAAAACACAAATAATTTATCATATTTTATATGGGAATTGGGATGCTGCCAAATTTGCTAAATAAGGGGAGACAATATCAAAGTGCTATCTTTATAATGCTGCTTCAGTAAGAACATGCAGCTTTATTGTTCTTAAAATGTTTGTATAGCCATTACTGGAATAATTGTTTAAGTGCAATATTTCAAAAAAGATCTGTCTTTGGAAATATCTTGTTATATACAGTAATTTATATCTAGTTTATTTATGACAGGCCTATACATGTAGCTATAGCTCCACTAATATTTCAAAAATAAAATTTGGATAAAGATTTTGCAATCAGGACTGGAAAAGAAAGCAAATTTATTTTATACATTTACGTATACATTTACAATGAATTAAGGATTAATGGGGAGTATACACTATAACTGTATGGCCTTTTACTATAGACCAATCACTTGTAAACGAAGGCTAGATATATAATGTATAGCTATCAACATATATACCTAATGTATCTCTGTCAGTCAGAACTGAATGGATTGTAACGGTTTCTGCCACATGTATATATGTCTCATTAATAAAGATAAATTTCACATTTGTGGGTCTGAATTGCAAATGACGTTGATAATGAATCAATTGAATTAATTTCAATGGCTTCTGTCAATGTCGATTCTCTCATATCATACTTGTATAACATATAATACCTGATGATCTAATTTTCTCAAATGCATATACGGCTAAATCAAACTGCATAGATAGTTACAATCAACCAAGCGGGGAATGAATTTGAACTGTTAGTACCGATACGAAATGACATTTCTGTGATGGCATGTGCATGTAGTTGGTGTGTGTAATGAAAGCTTCATCTATATCCATCATTAGAGATTGACAGACCGATATTTCAGGATCACGTTCTTGTTATTTCCATTGTCCGTACCGCGTTAAGCTATGCTTTTAATAGCTGCTTATCTGCAAATGTATGGAAGTCTGTCAAAAGGCCGAGTTTAAGAATTTGAGATTTGGGGGTGTGCTGGTAAATTTTAATTCCTCTTTCATTTTACATAAAACTTTGTACATATTAATAAATTTGTCTATTCTCATGGCCTTCGATTATGTGTCTAGATATTGAATTAATTCCTGTTATGTTCCGATCATTTTTGCCAGGACTTATTTTCTGTTTGTTTATATACATTCAACAGAGTTCTTACAGCTGTAATGATGATGTCTAACATCTGTACAAGTTCATTTAAATTTGGAATAATGGTATTTAGCTGTTGAAGACCATATGCCTGGTAATTTGTCTCTGTATCAACGAAAACAATCACAGTTTTTGAATAACAATCATCTCATAGGAAAACGGGACGTTTATCTCTTCTAGCCGGTTATCAGTTATAGAAAAGGCGGACTGAAATGTTTGTGAATTGATACTCGTCAACACAGCACAGGGATCTAAATGGCTGTCCCATTATCACATTGATTGCGACAGTGATACAGGGAATATTACACACTATATTGATCTGCTATTGTATTTTACTATTTTAATGATTGTGACCAGAATCGACAGATAATGGACACATGCAGTTTTATCTCTCAGTATCCCATGGCCAGGGCCTCTAGTGTGTTGTGACTCCGGGGGATCGATGTATGAGAGAGATCTGTACTTATATTAGGATCTGTCAATATTGTGAGAAGAATAAAGGGGCATAACTCTAAGGATGTCATTTATAGGATGCTGATCAATGTTTTGATGAAACAAAACATGGGGACAAGTCCCCATTTAATTACGCTCAAGAAAAGGAGAACAGAATTTCAAGGGAGATAATTGATCATGATGACAGTGCAAATTTGAAAGAAAGATACTAAAAATAAAACCATGACAATACCTTAATTGACGTGTATTTAGCTTGGAGTAATCAATTCATGGTGGTTTAAGATCTTGGAAGAAACAGAATAAGGATAAAGGGGAAGGGAAGAAAATGAAAAAATAAAAATAGTGATGGGTGTTTGATAGTATAATTATGGTATATATTATTGCCAACAGAACACACTAAGAACTTGATACTGACTCAGCTGAGTTGTAAGGCAATCATTATGACATTAGAATATATCAAGAATGGGACTTGGAGAATGTAGAGTATAAAGTCGTATAAAAACTTAGATATTTTGATAGGAAATACTTTATTTTTTTATCTACATAAAGAAAAAATAAATTTTGATGAAAATTGTTTTCAGTGTGTATTATTCTTTACTTACGAGAATAGATTGTGTTAATTAAGAAGGATGTAAAATGGTAGATCCTGCAAAAAAAGTACATGGACTACTAAAAATAATCTAGATAGCTGCCTTTAGAGAAAGAAAACTTGTTTGAGGACAAATGTCTGAAAAAAAGTTGTGCGCAAGCACATGATATGATATGCTAGCAATTAATCATAAATTTTGGGGAAAAGCCAGCAGACGAAACTACTTTATATATAACATTAGCATGTCATTCTTGCCAGATTTCGCCATATGTCAAGGTCGTTTAATGTATTGTGTCAGTGTTAGTTGTGTTTTGAGATGGCCCCTAGTTAATGTAAGTGATACCAACTTGCCCTATTATCATACACACCTATACAGGACTAAGCATCTCCGGTATTTGATCTCTACAACATTTATATCGTATTAAGATAAGTAAGCCCATCTGGTTTGGGCCCTACCTGTATGTATTTACATTTTGTATCAGTATTAGACTTACGCAAGTCACATCACTGTTGTATAGATTATCATTCCTTTTGTTGATAAACATATATTCAATACACTTTCCTTAACTACATTCTAAACAGTATTAGCTATGAGAGAGATCAGTAGAGATTTCATCTGGGCAGAAATATCCACCTGTCATCAACTTGATGTCTTAAAACCTTCATTATATCTGGACAATAATGTGATTGTATAATTTCTGGTAAGGCCAAATAGATAATGAATCTGTTTTTCATTTCTCTATATACCAGCCAATTAAAAGTTGGGTCCCAAGGTATTTATGACAAGCATGCAATAATAAAAATAATAAAATATAGAGCTTCCCCAGCTAGTGATAATTGGTTATTATGCTTATAAATAACTCCAGCTAGTTAAAATCACATTGCAAAAAGATATGAGCAGTGTAATAAATCTCATGTCTTAATTTAATTTTAAAATAAACTTGATAACCAGTCATCACATTACTTTGGAGGCCTTTCCCAATGTTGCATATGTGGTGAACAGGAAAATTTTACCTGCAACTCCTTGCGCGCATATCCAATGCTTAAGTATATATAGTGGAGGAACAAAATTTGGTTACAGAGAGAAATTTCCTAGTAATAATTAAGATATGTGTTTAAATTTTCAGACTCACTGCAATGTATTTACATGTACTTAAGTTGAATATGGGTATATAGCATCAACACAAACAATGCTATATAGCTACCTGTCTATATTATATGAACGGTTGTAGACAGCAATAGAATTGATTTTCGATTCTTATTTGTATTTTTCAGAATTCTTGTCGGAGCCCCTTTACATAATAGTACCATTGATGGAAACATTGTACAGGCTGGAGGAGTTTATAAATGTAATGTTAGGTCTATGGACCCTGACGATTGTCAGCTGATAGAGGATATAGGTGAGTGATCATGACTAGTCTTGTCCGGGACTTATAACTGTCCCTGGTATTATGTTAACTATATAGGTATGAGGAAAAACTGATGCGAGGCATTTGTGACAATGGGCAAAAAAGAAAACTTTTTTGCCGAAAATGATCAAGACAGCGTAAGTTTTGCCTTTTCCCCCCTCTACCGTATGAAGGCATCATAATAATTCATTGAAGTGAATATATCAGTACAGAGCATACCCCTTACAGTAATTACAGGCGAATGGTGAGATAAACACTCGGCGAATATAGATTTTATAAGTGAATAGTGAATACTTCGTTTCTATTGAAAGGGCAGAAGCTTAAGGTTCCTGGTTCATAGTGAATCTTTCTGTCAATATGAAAACATGGAGAAACATGGAGAAAATCGTGGGATTCCTCCAGGTATTCCAGTTTCCTCCTATATTAATTATAATGCACCCACCCTCACTCCCCTTCTCCTGCACACAAACATCTGGGCTAACAAAGGAGATTAATATAAGTTGAAAAAACTTGTTTCAGAATTGTTATGAAATAAGTAAAGTTTATAGAGCCAGAGTTTAATCTGGTTTCTGTTGTATAGAGTATTAAATGTCTAATTTAAGGAGTTGAGTGTATCTTCTCACAGAGCTGTCGAAAGGTTCAAACCATAACATTTCCGACAGTGATGCAGTTAATAATACCAACCAGTGATAAATTGTGTTTCAAAATCATTTGTGCTTTTGTGAAACACAACTTTGGAATGTACACAAACATGATATTATGTATTGCACTGGGCCCAAAACATCAAGCAGTAACTCAAACAACTGCTGGATAAGATAAGGTTATTGATTTTTCGGCCTGAAATGTAAACAAATCGATATAAATACGGACATGAAGTAGTTAGCAGTGGTGAGATACAATCACTGCTTCAGGGAGAGTTGATTGTTTTACGACCATAGATCCCCTGTCTGGCCTCCATCACTGCCCTATTATACTGTACCATGGTCAGTATCAATATAAAATCTGTCTTCATACAACTTGGCAATGTTATCAACCAGATATTCCGTCCTGGGGGGGGGGGGGGGGGGATCTTATTTAAAACTACATGTTTCTCTGTCCCATTTGCAGCTTATGAAGTAAATGTTGTCAATACAGCTTGTGTAAGAATTGGTACAAAAACTAGCTATTTGGTTCTAGAAAGATGACAAAAAGGGCCCCTATTATAGTCCGAGCATGGGCCTATCGGTGGTGAAATATAATCGGTACACTGTGTGTATGTAAACACCATTCGACAGCAAAAAATTGGTATTATTTGAAGATTTGGCCGTATTAGAGGGACACGTTATGCAAACTGTTGAGCCAAAAAAGAAAAAAAGAAATTCAATAAAACAATGTGGCATTGAGCGAGGTTGCAGCTTAAGATTCACGAAGAGTATTAGGTTTCTTCAAATTGACCTTTTTATCGTGTGTTCAATATTTCGTGAATTAAATCGATAAGTAGGATAAAGTTTCTTTTGTATAATGTTCGGAAAATAGAAATTGTAAACAAGATAAAATGCAAGTCAAGTTTGAAAGGCCATAATCAAAGATGAAGGCAACACAAAATCTTACAATATGTCTTTATTAAGCTTAGCAATGACAAAGACACGTACACTGTGTCTGAACAGATTAGTACCATGAGGATAAAGCTTTACAGCTAGTCCACCTAAGTTTGAGCTATATAGTCTATTTTAGAACTGTTAATGCTAAATGTTATGGGTGTTCTATAACTATATATGATTAATAAATATGTACGATTTTGTGATCTGTGGACTTGTTTACATTGTATGAACAATTGTCCGATGTAAAAGTCCAGTAGGAAACCAAGGGTCAGTATAGATAGTGCTAAATGACATAACTGGCCCAATATACTATCTTATTGATCCTCTAGCTTGACCTGTACTCTACTTAAACATCTAGTTCTGTAGCTTCTCCTTCCACTTGAAGTGGTCAGTGGAGCCCAGAGTTTGTGGTCAGGCCGGTGTACTCTATGGCCAGTGAGTGGTCAGCAGAATATTTTAAGATGGTCAGTATATATAAATTCAGTTGGGATGACAATTTCTCATTCATATCCTCTGTTTTTAAAGGTCATGTACGTTCATGCTGTAATATAAGAATAGATTGGTTTAATTTACATTAAATGACTTGTTCAAAGTGTAGATTTTGGAGGTACTGTTAAAGTTTATCAGAATTCTTGTTGATTGAACTGATCATGATTGTGGTGTGGACATTTTTCACGCAATGGTTTTGAAATCTATTATCTTCATTATCCATATATATACACATTTGCATTATGAATATTTCAATGCTCATTTATAAATTACTCAAAGTGAAAAACCTGAGCATTTATTCAATATACGCTTTTACAGTAGCCGATGCAACCAGCCTTAAAGTCTTTTAGTTTGGTGTTCGATTAATATTCTTATCGTTGGTTATCAATTTTTTGTATGGTTTGTTTTGTTGGTATGAAAAACACATCTTTACATAATAAGTTGATTGATATGTCCTTTCTTTCAGATTCTGCAATAAGTAATGATGGAGAAAAGTCTGGACAATGGATGGGGTCGACCATCAGTAGTACCACACAGAGGGGCAAACGTGTACTGGTGAGTCAACTTGTCTACTGAAAATGTCCAGGAATTTTCCTACTTTTGTAACTAATACCAAAATCAGCTGCATTTCTGATTGTATGTTAAAGATATCCCCCCACCCCCACCCAGTCTCATTAACCCTTTCACCACTGTAGACCACAATGGACTCATCCAGAAAAAAAGGATGGTAGCATAGAGTCTACTAAAGTTACCTAGGGGTGAAAGGGTTAAAATACTTAAAACCAAAGTTTCATGAAATCACCAAGCCCTTTTGAGCCTAATACTGTGCAATGTCTTCCAACCATCCATTGTGAAGGGGTGAAGGGGTGAAAGGCTTTCAAGGTTGTTCAAATGAGTTATCTTGACTTAATTTTTTCAAGGTCACAAGGGTCAAAGGTTACTTTTTCTGATAATTGTTTGTAATAATAGAACAGCCCACTTTTAATGAGTTATCTTTGAATGACATTTTTCCTTCCTATATTTTCAGGTTTGTGCACACAGGTATACAACAAATTTTGTGGGCATAGGAACTTGTGTGACCTTGAACCCTGACCTGACCGCTGAGAATGAGAGACGACCTTGTCGGGACGATGGTCTGGAGAATGAAGGGATAGCATACTGCCAGGCAGGAACCTCTGGAATTATGATGAATGTTAGTCTCCAGTTAAACTCTCTCCATATTCAGTGCTGTTAAATGTACTGTAAATATTTAGATTTCTGTAATTCGTTTCCACAATTGGTTGTTGTAAAATGCTTACTTGCAAGTTATAAGGTTTAAAGGAAATTAACAAAAACATGTACCATATATATTCAAATATATGGTTCAAATGTCTGAAGTGAACATATTTGAGATGCTAAAAGGTTCCATCAACTAGTAAAGTTACTCCATATTCTTTATGTATTTCTTCAATGCACTAAGCTGACTACATTCTATTACAGGATGAGCGCATCTTACTGGGAGCTCCAGGGGCTGTTGATTGGACAGGTATAGTAGGGTCATGTGACATTCAGCCGCCACCAGCATGGTTGTCCATTTAGCCACTGTTTTAAGGGACTGATTGGGGTTTATTTACAATCCAGACAATTTCACTAGAAACGAAGCTGGCTAACTGTTTCTTTTACAGTCCTGACCCTTGACCCAGGAACAAGGCTGGCACAATATTTTAAAAATGTGGATGAATGAACTTTGATCTTAAATTATTATCCATGAAACTTCCCCATGCCAATGGGATTCATTTTACAAGTGTCTCTATTTGGGTAGACAGTCTGATTAAAATATGACCCAATACATTTTCGACATCTTTTTAATCTAATAAACCAATTGATCAAAGTTTGTACAAATGATCATCTCGTGACCTTTTGTTATTTTTCATTCTGATTTGAGATCAAGAGTGACCATCTTGAGTTCTGCATGGCTGAAATGTTTTCGACTTCTCAATTTTCATCGGGCTATTTTCTGTCTACAAATGTTCTGTCAATGCTTGACCATATATTTTTATATTTTGGACCATTTATCAATCAAAAGATGGCCACATGTCTTTTGCTTTGCTGAGACAAACTTCTCAATTTCGACAAGGCCAATGATAACCAAACTTGATTTTGATAATTTTCTCGTGATTCTAAAAATGTTGTTTTGGATTGGCTGAGATATTATTTGGCCAATTCTCAATTTGTATACTAGTGTTACTGGTAATATTTAAATGTGTTGGTTTCTCCCATATACAGGTGGTTTGTGGACACAGTACACTGGAGATGACATCAGACAGGACCTGTCATGGTTCAGAACTCCTATCTATCCCACGGAGGACACTCGCAAGCCACGCCCCATTGACCTAACGTCTTACATGGGTTTGTATTAGTAGGAAACCTAAAAGGCCCCCTCCCATTGACCTTTGACTCCATCCCTATTAACCTCTGCCCCCAGCCTGATTGACAGTAAGACTCCAGCTTCACTGACCTTGAACTTTGGACACTACCCTATTAAAATTTATTGACCCTGTCAATCTCTCCCAAACCTCCAAAATAACATCAATATCCTGCCCAATCTTTACCCATTGACCTCCATACCTACCACATTGATCTCCCCTATCTCATTAACACCAAACTTAACATAATTTTCATTTGCCCCCCCCCCCCCCCTGCAACCCCCCTATGTTGACTTTATCTCCCTGTCGCCCTAACCCCACTCTCCTATGTTGACTTTCAATCACTGTCGCCCTAACCCCACTCCCCTATGTTGTCTTTATCTCCCTGTCGCCCTACCCCCACTCCCCTATGTTGACTTTACCTCCCTGTCGCCCTAACCCCGCTCCCCTATGTTGACTTTACCTCCCTGTCGCCCTAACCCCGCTCCGCTATGTTGACTTTCAATCCCCGTTGCCCTAACCCCACTCCCCTGTGTTGACTTTATCTCCCTGTCGCCCTAACCCCCCTCCCCTATGTTGCCTCTCAATCCCTGTCGCCCTAATCCCACTCCGCTATGTTGACTTTAGCTCCCTGTCGCCCTAACCCCACTCCCCTATGTTGACTTTCAATCCCTGTTGCCCTAACCCCACTCCCCTATGTTGACTTTATCTCCCTGTCGCCCTAACCCCACTCCGCTATGTTGACTTTCAATCCCTGTCGCCCTAACCCCACTCCCCTATGGTGACTTTCAATCCCTGTCGCCCTAACCCCACTCCCCTAACCCCACTCCCCTATGTTGACTTTATCTCCCTGTCGCCCTAACCCCACTCCCCTATGTTGACTTTCAATCCCTGTTGCCCTAACCCCACTCCCCTATGTTGACTTTATCTCCCTGTCGCCCTAACCCCACTCCGCTATGTTGACTTTCAATCCCTGTCGCCCTAACCCCACTCCCCTATGTTGACTTTCTATCCCTGTCGCCCTAATCCCACTCCCCTATGTTGACTTTCAATCCCTGTCGCCCTAACCCCGATCCCCTATGTTCACTTTCTATCCCTGTCACCCTAATCCCACTCCCCTATGTTCACTTTCTATCCCTGTCTCGTTGACTAGAACCAAAATCATTATCCTTTGTCAGTGACTATGAAAGTGATATCATAAAGTAGAATCTAAAATATTTGGCCAAAGTCCAGACATATTGCCTGATAGACTTTTATCACGTTTACACTAGGTGTGTACCAGAGATATGATAATATTAAAATAAATGTGATGATAAATCTATTACATTGATTGTACATTTGTTAATACATTACAAATCAGTTCTAGAATTATAACCATGATATTGCTCTACAAATGCATCGTTTTGGAGATAACAGGTGGACAAAATTTCATTTTGTAGATAACATCACTAAGTTTAACCCTGTCACCACTGTAGATCATAATGGACTCATCCTAATAAATGAGTGATAGAGTCTACTAAAGTTACCTAGGGGTGAAAGGGTTCAGGTAGATGATAATGATTGTCCCTGTATGCTAATAATTATAAATAATGCAGTACATAGATCATTTGGAAAGGTCTCCTCATCCAGAAATGATCTCTTTCAGGATTCTCAGTGACATATGGAAGATTTGACCCCAATGGAGTGACCTATGTAGGCGGGGCCCCGCGGTCCGTATCCAAGGGACAGGTGGTTCTGTTTGTGAAAGATACCAAGGGACTAACATACCGAGACAACCAGATTCTGACGGGGGAGGAACCATTTTCTGCTTTTGGTTACTCTCTAACAGCCTTTGACGTCAATGATGATTCGTAAGTTTAGGCTGTGATTTGTTACGTCTGCATAGTCTATTTTATTCTTAGTTCACGTTGTTTTGAACTATAGTTGACATTATCATGTTTAATACAATTTTGACCAAGTTGATCCTTTAGCTTTTTTGACTCATTCACCCCTGAAGACACATTTGAACTCTTCCAATTGAGTTAATGAAATGTCAACACACAAATGTTGATTTTTTGGGATGTTTAGGTCAAGTATGAGGGGAAATAAGTATCTTTTGATTTGATCAAACATGCAAACCTATGGGGAACCAGGTCAAAGGTCGTCTATGCCATAAAGTGATTTGTGTAGGATTTATTCCAATCTTGGTGACCTTTTCGGGGGTGAAGGGCATAATCAATAACTGATTTTCTTGTTTTCAGTGGGGTACAATGTTTATTTTATCTACTTTTTAAAAATAAAAGCCTAGCAAATTTACAAATTTAAATACAGGCCTGGAACATGTTTGTCTACACTGGTCAGTCTCTCTTTCATAAGTGAACAACTTATAATGTTCCAGTTAATCAAAAACATTAGGAAAATGGCCTAAATGATCTCAACTGCCATTTTCTTGCTGTGTACACTTTATTCTTTGTACACTTTATTCTATGTTCAGAACAATTTTTTACAGGTCTACTTTTTTTTCTTTCCAGGTTTGATGATTTGATCGTAGGTAGCCCAATGTACCTTGAGAAGGACCAAAGCATTGGTGGCGCCATCTACATTTACATGGGAAGCGACTCTGAAATGGTAAACAAACAGTATCTCAGGGTGTTGCTTCCTGTTCTGAACAAGCTGGGATAATGTACTCTGTATATGAATATGCACTGATTGAAATCAAGTGTTAAAAAGATTTATTGAACTTGTAAACAAAAACATTTTTGTGAATATTTAAATTGTTGACACAATCAGCTAATTAAGAATCTTTTTAATTATTGGTAAAATATTATTTCAGATTACAAAAGATTCAGTGCCCATAAAGATAACGAGTCGTAAGATGAGTGAGGGAGACTGTATGAAGTTCATGTGTAAGGATGCCAGGTTTGGCCACACACTGGCCAAGGCGGGTGATATCAACCTCGACGGTTACCAAGGTAACGACCTTTACCATAGGTCATCAGGCATACAAGTTCAGTTTCCTGGTTAAGAAAATGATGAAAATCAATTCATTAATGTTCAAATGTATCGTGCTAAAAAGAAACATTAATTGGATAAATGCAGATATTCAATATTGGAGTAATTGCATTGATTGTAGGATTCCAAGTATATCTTAAGGCTGTTTTACTTATAAAACTGCATCAGAAGAAGAAAAATGTAGCTGAACAAAAATTACATTGTAGATTTTCAATTGAATAATAAAAATAAATTATGAATTATATTAAAAGTTTAAAAAAAAAAAAAGTTTTTAAGTCTTAAGTATTCTGATATTCAATATTCCACTGTAATTTGTGTTTTGATATTTCAGATTTGGTGGTTGGGGCTCCATATGAAGGTGTAGATAAAGGTGCCATATACCTTTTCCACGGCTCTGCTGAGGGTCTGAGGGAAACCTACGCCCAGGTAATTCAGAAACTCTGGAATATGTAATGACAAAATCAAACATTTGTGATAAATTATTTGATTGATTTCAGGTATATAAAATGTAATCAGTCGCTAGGCTGATACCTGTTAAGATTACAAAGGAGCTTTGTGACACCTATTTCAAAGCTTTTTGATTCAAATGAAACACTGCCACGCAATTCATTTAATCTTTATCAAAGACATCAGTTTAGTCTACTTTCATCATCCTCAAGGTGTTTGGTTAAGAACTATGATATTGTTGTGACACAATCCGGGAATGCAGGTAGGATAAGTGAATGGAGAGCTCAACCCTTGGATTACAAGGGTTGAACAGCCTTGGTCGACTCCAAAGTCTAGGTCGTATGACATCATTGTCCCCCTGTTGTGGTAGGGACTGGATTGACAGTTGCTGTAACACGGGAAACTGGGTGGCACAAAGTCCTAGCATTTTTAGCACACCTGGTCCGAAGGACCAAGGTGAGCTTATGCCATCCCCCGGCGTCCGTCCGTTGTCCGCCGTCAACAATTTCTTTAAACGACTTCTTCTTAACCACTGTTTGGAATTTAAATAAATTTGACTGGAAGCATCCCTAGCTGGTGGGGATTCAAAATTGTACAAATGGTGGAGCTGACCCCCAGGGGGCTGAGGAGCGGGGCTAAAAGGGGACAATTTGGCTTTATTGCTTTAAGCGACTTTTTCTCTTCAACTAAGTGATGGATATCAACCATATTTGACTGGAAGCATCCCTAGGTGGTGGGGATTCAAAAGTGTACAAATGGTGGGGCTGAGGGGCGGGGGCCAAAAGGGGGCAATTTGGCTATATTGCTACAAACGACTTCTGTAGAACTATGTACTGGATATCAATCATATTTAATCAAAAGCATTCATGGGAGGCAGGGATTCAAAATTGTACAAATGGTGGAGCTGACCCCCCCAGGGGGCTGAGGGGCGAGGCCAAAAAGGGTTATTTGGCTATATTGCTTTAAGCGACATCTTCTCTGGAACTAAGAGATGGATATCAACCATATTTGACTGGAAGCATCCCTATGTGGCGGAGATTCAAAATCCAACCCATTTTAATCTCTCCGTACTATTTTTATACATCCCACATTGTGATGAGGGTACTGGAATATAGAAACTTTTTTTGGTGCGTACATATGTGTGCGAGTGCGTACATCCGTCTGTTCATAGTAAAAAAGCTTGTGTAAAAGATATCTCAAGGAAGCCTAAGCACATTTAGTTCATATTTACACCCAAGTGTGGTTATATCGTGTTCTTCACCTGGTGGTTATCGGTAAAGATTAAGGGGTCAAAGGTCATGGTCAAAGATCATACTTTACCACTTTTCAAGTGTAAATAACTTGAGCCTACACTCATTTTGTTTTTATAAGTAACAGTGGCCTTGACCTTTACAAAACACACCCAAAACTAATGCAATGACACAAAAATAGTAATTTGAAATAAAATGGTAGTGTTTGAGACATGATTTAGTTTCACTTTAGAAACAAATCGAACAGAAATTCATTAATGGTTCTCACATCAAATTTCACACATTCCTACAGATGTATCATTGGTGCTGTTTTATGTTACAGAGAATCTATGCCTCCGACATTGTCACAAGTCCCCCATTAAGGGCCTTTGGACATTCAATCTCCGGAGGTATGGACATGGACGGAAATGGGTATGATGACATCGCTGTCGGCTCCTACGATTCTGGACAGGCAATTCTCCTACGGACACGACCAATCGTACACTTGACAGCTAGTATTTCTGTGGCACCCACCAAATTCAACATTTCCCAGCCAGCCATGTGTTATAACGGAGTGAAGAAACGCTGTGTTGTCATGACATTTACTCTCTCCTATACCATAGATCCTGTTAGAATGTAAGCAATGTCATCATCTCAATCAAAAGATTCACGGTAGAATTAAGCTTCTCGTTGGTGTGAAGGGAAATATATCTCTCTCATTCCTGTGCATACAGGGTATACGACAGAACTGTTCAGGATAAGAAAGGGGTGTTAAGAAATTTTCTATCTTACATCCAATTTCATGTGCATGACGTCACAATTGGACAACAATGACGTGATGTCATGAAATCCAAACATTCTGATGTCACGATGCAATTTTTTTTTTTTAAATTGTGGTTGCAAGACAATTCTGATTGTTAGAATCAGAGAAAAATACTCTTTCATACCCATTGATGCAGAATAGGGAAATTCCACTTTTGGGAATTCCCTATCTTCCATCACATGGCTTGAAACAGTCTTGTAGTAATGGCATAAACGAACAGGCCCAGGAAAATTTAGCCCAGTCAAAAATTTGCCCTTCACATGCAATTACTATATTCATTAATGGGTATGCTGTGTACTAATGTTAGCTGTCATGATTGATTCGCTCTTACTGTAAATGGGTGAAAATGGTGAAAGGTGAACTGCAGTGAAAATATTCAGGTATACAGTACAAATACAATTATCTGGGTAATAGAAATGCTTGTAAGAAATATAACTTACCAGAGCATACCTTAGTTTTCAAAGTGTTTGAAATATGTTTATAAAGTAAAGCATATAGTTTCTAGGCAACCGAAATGATCATAGGAAATGTGATGAAACATAGTTTCCACATTTTCTAAATATTTCTTAAACCCTTAAAATTTTAAATTTTGTAGAATCAAGCATAAGAATTTCCAAGAAGTACAATTACTATAAGAAGTGTTATGTATCATATTTTTTAGGTTTTTAGAATGTTTGAAAAATATGAAATAAATCATGTATCAAAACATACTGTATATTGAAAAAAATATCTCTCGTGAAACTTTCGTCCTTGAGCAGAATTTAATTTTTATCACATTATCAGCCTGTTATCCAGTGAATTTGCCAGTGTAATATTTTTACATATGTCACAAGTGTAATATACCCTGGAGCGTTTTTCATTGGCTGTGCCAGTCAGGAATTGATTGTGACGTCATAATATAGACAATGACGTGATGTCATACATTGTGAATGGCGCAACAAAATGGCTGTCTCCGTTTGATTAAGGCTTCTACATTTTGGCTTTAAAACCTGTCAAAATGTGAGTTATGTGATAAAAAGTATCTTAAATCTGTTTTTATTTCATATGAGCTTTTATGAAACTCATCTCGAAGTTTTAATTTTTGCTCGCCAAGGCTCGCAAAAATGAAAACTCCTAAGACTCTTCCATAAATGCTCATTTGAAATAAAAACTCATTTAAGATCCTATATGTTTGCTATTGCACGCTGTAATAATACATTTGCCCTTCATTACAGCAGACAAAATTGGCAAAAACGTTAAGTGCAGAGAAACTTTCCCGGTATACAGTGCATGTTTATGATACATGATTTATTTAATATTTCATGCTGTGAGTTTCTAAGTAACCAGGAACTAAGGTAAAACACATTTGTACCAGATGTATATAGGATTTCCAAAACTTGCCTATGAAAAGTGTCAAACATGTCTCGGTCTCTTTAAACTTTCCTGTTTCATACTTAAAATGCAGATTTACACTATTTAAGGTTTTTTTCCAGTTTTTCCAAAGGTAGTTAATGCAATACATATAATTTGCAATTTTAAGATGCAATTTTTAAACTGAAAAAATATGTCCTGTTCTTAAATTAAACCCTTATGATGTATTATACAGAAATTATTAGGTTGTCTTTGTAACTGCATGTTCCTTCTTACAGGTTACCACTTCAAGTCGTCTATACCATTGAAGCTGATACTGAGAAACGGAGAAAGAGAGTTGAGTTTCAAAACCCAACTCCAGGTTTAAATGGCCAGATTGAGAAAACAGTCTCCCTTCCCACAGTCAACAGACCGGAGGAATTCAAACATATCATCTACTTAAAGGTAGGGATACTTGACTGGGCGTTATGTGACTTGGCTAAAAGGTAGAGTAAGAAAACTGTTATGAATACAAAACTTGATTTAATGGCAGAGTCAAGTAATTTTTAACTAAATATGAAAAAATATCCTGATGTTTAAAAGTATTATTATACAGTGTGTTCTTTTTCCCTATTGAAAAGTTATTGATAACATTAAAAATAAGAAATATTGCCCTGGTAGGGGTGTTAATGTATAATGAAGGAGAAAACAACATTAAATTTATTACCTGTCAATTTTGAATGCAGGAAAACTTCCAGGACAAGTTACACCCTGTGAAGTTCAAGGCCTCATACAAACTTCCGGATGAGAACTGGCCCACGCGCAGTAAAAGGCAGGCGGTTTTCCCCGACATTAACCAATTCCCCGTACTGCGTCTGACTGGAGGGGCGGGTGAGACGGATATAACCTTGAATACAGAGGTAGGTAGCATCAGATACAAACTTAAGACTTATTTAATATGAGGCAATATGAGGCTTTATAGAAAGCACGGTAGTGTAGGGATTGGGCAGTATGCTGTATGCTCCTCGGAGTTTAGAAAGATATTGACTGGTTGCAAAGGCCCTATAACCACAGATTATAATTTGTGAACCGCTTTGAGACGACCTAGGAACTAGGTTGTGATAAATCGGTATATAAGAACCTTAAATTATTATTATGATTATATGGTTTGTAGTTGAGTAAGATAGTCTTTTTGCCGTGAAAAACGCCGGGAATAAAACCTCTTTATTTTCACCTTAATTCCCACTGATTGTAAAACTCACAGTGGTCTCCAAGAATTCTGGCATGTATGTCTTTCTGTCCATACTTTGGTTTCCACAAGATGTCTTGCTTCAATTTTTATGCAATTTCGATGAAACTTGGTAAGCATGTACAATATACAAAGATTACTGTAATTCAGTGTTTTTTCCCAGGAAACTTTGGCTTTCCTCCACCACCAAAACCTGGCACGTCCTTAAATGACCATAGCTATTAATAGGACGTAAAACACAAACAAACCAAACCAAACAGAGATTAATGTAAAGTTAGAATTTGTGCATACTCAAGTGGTATGGTTTGATTGGTTGACAGTTTCTTCAGTGTTGCTTTATCAAATATAGCTGGACCTAATGAAACTTGGTCAGTATTTATACTTTGCAAAGGCGGAAGTTTGAATTTCAATGAAATCAGCGAAGGGCAAAAATTGGACTGTGTGAAAGTTTGCCGGTATAGAATTTGTATCGTTATCTGTTTTATAAGATTTATAGATTATATTAATATGTATTGTGTTTACAGATAGCCTTTGCCAAGGAGTGTGGCAGCAATGATATCTGTGAGAGCAGTTTGAGCATGATGGTTGAAGTCGTACTTACAGATATGTAAGATCCTCTGCTAGATTGTATTATATTGAATTGCCTGTAGAGTCTCTAAAAAGCTTTTGGAAATGGAAGTGATACTCAGATTTGTATTAAATTTCACTGTCTAGAGTCTTTTAATAATTTTAGGAAATGAAAGTGTTCCTTGTATTTGTATGAAATAATGTTGAAAATATGTGAAAATTAGAACCCAGGGGGAAATAAACAAAATAAGTTTTACTGTAAAAGTATGTGATTTAATTTCAAAGATTCACCTCATACACAAACAATGTAAGTATTAAACGTCTTGCAACATTTCAAGACTGACTGGTCCCTTCATCAAGCTTTGACTGATAAGCGATTTGTATTGTTTAGCTATGCAATGATGTGATGAAATTGTATATTTCGTATGTCGCTCGACCCGAGATATTACATTTTTTCAAACAGAAGAATCTCATTGAGGAGTTAGTGTGATTTACTTTGCTGTGCATGCTTTACAGAGACAGGAAGACTGGCTACCCAGTGATGACAGATATCGGAGCTGATCTAACCATTAGGTTCCATGTCTCAAACACCATGGAGCCAGCGTATGAAACTATGTTCTACATTGTCGTCCCAGAGGAGTTCGAATACAAGAACTCCAAAGCTTTAAATTCTGTAAGTTTAACATTTTCATTTCCTGATCTTTTTAGTATATTTATTTAGAACAATTGTAAGAATGGTAACAAAATATACATGCTTGCATATTGGAAACAACTGGAGGTATAAAAGGTTTATTTTGTCTTTCCGTTGGTATTTTTTGAGCGTGTGATAGTGATGACAGGCTAAATGTTATAATATAAAATGTGATAGAGGAATTCTTATGCAATAATACTATTGTATAAGAATAGACTTTTTAGCATAGTAAAGAATATAAGAATAGACTTTTCAGCATGGAATGGAATGTAAGCATTGGCTTTTTAGCATAGAATTGAATGTTATAATGGGCTTTCTGAAGTTATGGGATAGCACAATGTTGTACAATGTATAAGAATAAAGAAGAAATAGTGATACGTTCGTTTGTGTACAATTTCTCTGTACTAAGGGATTCAGAGAAAATCCTGTCTTTTCAAGATTGGGGACCATTCAAACTATCGACGATATTCCTAAAAAGAAAACCCAGAAAATATCTACTTTAAAATAAAATTTAACACAAAAATTGCACAAATTACACAAGTCTTTTACAGTATTTCTTGCAAACCCTGTCAGAATAAATCAATAGCATTCCTTTTGACTTGGTGAATCTAGAACCAGTATATCATAACCAGAGTGAGGTGATAGTTTTGTACTCTCTACATTAAGCTCCTTAACCTTTTCACCCCTATGTAACTTTAGTTGACTCTACCATGCATTGATATGGACGAGTCCATTATGGTCTACAGTGGTGAAAGGGTTAACTCTAGTGATGGTTTATTTGTATTTTCAGGATTCCTTCCTGCCCGAGTGTTCGGTGTTCAACTCCACCATGATGATATGTGGAGGACTTGGTAACCCACTGTTTAAGAATATGGTCAGGGAATTCACAATCACTTTTAACACAGGAGGTCTCGACCCCAAGACCAACTACTTCACAATGAAAGCCTTTGTCAATACGTATGTACCACATTTATGACATATAGCATGTTAAAGGTGTAGTAATGTGGACAGAGATTTAGATTTTTGACAAGTGTTTTAAATCACATTTATAACATGTTTATATATATGTAAGTTAAAGAATAGTCTTACTTTATTTTAAAAAATATAACAATTTTTCTGAAGCAATTTGATATTGTATACCAGGAATTGTTTTACGTAACTTTTCGCTGCAGTTAAGATTTCGCCTTTTTTCGCTCTCCATAACTAGGGCAATTAATAATTACAACAAATATAGGTAGACAACATAATAAAAATAGCGATTTTATGTGACGGAAGAAAATTGAGAATACGGAAGAAAGATGAAAATTTCCTGATATAGAGTATTACAATTTTAAATATGCTTAAGCTAGTAAAGTACAAGTAACAAAAATACTCTAGATATGTCAGTATCACAAATAATTTCATTTACATCTTTTGCATAAAGGACGAGTGCAGAACAGACGCCCATTGAGGATATGAAGAGCCTGACGGTGAAAGTCGTATCCAAGACCAACATGGTTGTATATGGGTAAGTGTGCATACAGAAATGAACACAAGCTCCTTCAGTTTTCAAATTACGATCAGTTGAGATGATGACAGTTACAATTGTGAACAAGGGGAAGTAACCCCCACATCACTAACGCCACCTGTGCCCAAGCTGGCAGAATGTCAGCAAAACTGTCTGGGTAAGAACATTATTTTTACACTGATCATTGACTTGATGAATCTTGCAAATATACCTTACATTCCTGCTAAATGAACCTTTTGAGTGATAAAGTTATGAATAGTTTTAAGTGTAAACAAACAAACTCTTGTTAGGTGACACAGTGGATAGCGCACACAATTTCACAAATATAGATGGGTTTTGAATCCACCGTTGTGCGTGAAAAGGTATGTGTTTACTTGTCCAAAGATGTGGATTTTCTCTGAGTGCTCTTAGTCTCCTCCAAAATTAGGACCCCCTGCGTTCTTCTATCTAGGCCTTCAAGAAAAATGATATAAGTTTATAATCTGTTTCAAAATTGTTGTAAAATATAAGTATGATGTAAACAATTGAAACCCAGGGTTGTTACTTAATATTGTATGTAAGTTTTTGTGAGGTAATGTGTTTGTCCATATGTACTTGTGTGAACTGTACTTGTGTCGTATTGCGACGTTAACTCTGACCTTGGACATGCATGCTTGAATCATGTTGAATGACACCTGAGTACTCGACGAACAGCACACAATATTCCGCTTACATTCACTGCGCCTATGCACTTTGTTTTTGGAAAGTACAGTTTGTATTTCGTATTTGTTAACTTTTCACCAGATATGACTCAATATCAGATGGATGATCAAGTATAAAAATCAAGACTTTAAAAGTTTCCAATTCATTTTCAAATTTAGATGTCCCATGCAGTAACTATGAAGGTCAAAAACTTGGCTATGATATCATCATTATACCAAACGAGAACTTGTTTAAGATCCTTTTATAATATTTTGTACCCTATTTTGTCCACGAGTGCCTGTCTGACGACGTTGTTTCCTGTTACAGGTCAGCCAAGCCTGATGCCGATGTGGTGTTCAGCGGAGAGGTGCGAGGGGAGAGTGCTATCTCCCGGGCAGCACAGATAGGACCCGCTATCAACCACACCTACGTGGTATGTCCTTAATTGTCTCGGGTCAAGACGAGTAAAGGATAAAACGATACAGACAGCGATGATAGTGTACATAGAGGAGGTTCCCCTATCCTCGATACTCTATATTGGGGTTACTCTCTCTTTCGCTCTCTGTAACCATGGAATATGTCATAGCAAAATCAAAGGCTCCGTGTACACAACCTTGTGGATGAGATGAGAAGACTAGTTTGATCCTTTCATGTACATGAAAAGAATCTCTTGGTCGCTTGGTTGCGTAAGGATAAAATTGATTGGCTTTGAAGCTGGGTGTCGCTCCTCTTTAATCTTCAAAGGACAGGTATCAGCCTTGCGTTTGGTCAGGTTTTTCACCTGAGACCAATCAAATTGCTTGCCAATTGCCTTCAATTTTGCTATGACATATTCCAGGGGTGCAGAGAGTGAAAGTGAGCGTAACCCCTGGAGTATCAAGGATGGGGTTACCCAATGAGTGATGGTTGGTTATCGTGTTTATCTAACTTGAATGAGTTCATTTTCAATTTGTATAAAGACAAAAGGTATACAGAGTGTCTTTTACAATTTGAAAATTAACAAACGAGAGTTTGATAAACAGGATAATAACTGATCATCACAAATTTTGGGACCTTTTTCTCCCACAATGATCGGATATTGTATGTAGAAAACATATGTTTCTCTTAGGAATACATTTATTCCTGTTTCTAATCTGGGAAACATTGCCATGAACTATGACTTCACAATAGAAAATGACGTCACAAAGCATAGACATCATAATTAGGAGATAGACCAATGAAATAACGTCCAGTGTGTTATCCACTAGTGGGTAACCAAAAGTGTTTTCCCAACTTCCAGCAACATTCAACGAGTCGTGAGTGAGGAAACTTATGGATGTTGTAGTAGAAAATACCAAATACTGCAAATTATTGCTTATTCATTTAGATGAACATAAAGAAACAAGATTCCCCTAAATTTATTCTTAAGATGGTTTCTATTGTCCTATAAGATGGTTTCTGTTGTCCTATAAGATGGTTTCTGTTGTCCTATAAGGTGGTTTCTGTTGTCCTATAATGTGGTTTCTGTTGTCCTATAAGATCCTATAAGGTGGTTTCTGTTGTCCTATATGGTGGTTTCTGTTGTCCTATAAGATGGTTTCTGTTGTCCTATAAGTTGGTTTCTGTTGTCCTATAATGTGGTTTCTGTTGTCCTATAAGATCCTATAAGATGGTTTCTGTTGTCCTATAAGATGGTTTCTGTTGTCCTATAATGTGGTTTCTGTTGTCCTGTAAGGTGTTTCTGTTGTCCTATAAGGTGGTTTCTGTTGTCCTATAAGGTGGTTTCTGTTGTCCTGTTAGGTGTTTCTGTTGTCCTATAAGGTGGTTTCTGTTGTCCTGTAAGGTGTTTCTGTTGTCCTATAAGGTGGTTTCTGTTGTCCTATAAGATCCTATAAGATGGTTTCTGTTGTCCTATAGGGTGGTTTCTATTGTCCTATAGGGTGGTTTCTATTGTCCTGTAAGGTGTTTCTGTTGTCCTATAAGATGGTTTCTGTTGTCCTATAAGGTGGTTTCTGTTGTCCTATAGGGTGGTTTCTGTTGTCCTGTAAGGTGTTTCTATTGTCCTATAAGGTGGTTTCTGTTGTCCTATAATGTGTTTCTGTTGTCCTATAAGGTGGTTTCTGTTGTCCTAAAAGAGGAAATTAAAGAACATATTATGTTTGTGCCAGATTTGTGCCAGATTTGTAGTTCTATTGTCATTATTACTGTTGTTTAAATGTTGCAGTGAATATTGAAATATAGTGTTTGTTATATATCCGTGGACTTTCACTACCATTATAATGTTTGTTATATATCCGTGGACTTTTGCTACCATTATAATGTTTGTTATATATCCGTGGACTTTTACTACCATTATAATGTTTGTTATATATCCGTGGACTTTCACTACCATTATAATGTTTGTTATATATTCGTGGACTTTCACTACCATTATAATGTTTGTTATATATCCGTGGAATTTCACTACCATTATAATGTTTGTTATATATCCGTGGACTTTCACTACCATTATAATGTTTGTTATATATTCGTGGACTTTCACTACCATTATAATGTTTGTTATATATCAGTGGACTTTCACTACAGTTAAAATGTTTGTTATATATCAGTGGACATTCACTACCATTATAATGTTATATATCCGTGAATATTCATTGTTGTGGTCTGTCCTCAGATTTCAAATGACGGCAACAGTACAGTGGGTCAGGCTGAGTTCCAAATCGACTGGCCTTACGAGATGAAACCCATGTTAGCCGGACACAGTGGCAAACACCTCCTCTACCTCATTGACATCCAGGTACGCCATTTTCATTAATATTCTACCTTGCATGGTTCTATTTACATTAAAAAACTGTGTTACGCCACAAAAAATATATGTATATATGTTTTAGGTAACATTACTGAAACAAAACAGGGTATGTCAATTTGGATTTTTTTTTTTTTTTTTTTTTTTTTTTTTTGGGGGGNATTTAAAAAATTAAAAATATAACCAATTTTATGTTTAGGTCTTCAAATAATAGTTTGGTTTTGATACATGTCTATGAATTAGAGAAAGTTATCCCAACACTGGATGGAGTGCAAAATTGTGAGAGGGACGTACAAGCTAGGGTCGGTCCAACTACCTGAAATACACATAGCTTTTGTTTTCTCAACCTTATGATGTATCTAGAGGAATATTTTCAAATTTGATTTAAATTAAAAGTGACAACTTTGAACTGATACACAATGGACATTATTGGGTTTGGGTTCTTTGTAAATTGCCATACTTATCCTATAATAAGCTCATGCCTGGTAATAAGCCCACCCATGTCAAAACCAGTTCAGTAGCAATGACAACCAACGCCATTTCATATTTCTGCAATAAGCCCTCCCTTTTTTAAGTTAGAGTTAATATGTTGGTAATCTGGGCTTATTGCTGGATAAATACGGCAGATATTAATGCCCTTTCCATAAAATGGGGGGAGCATATAGTGGTCCCCATGTCCATCCCGTCCCATCAAACATCAAACACTGAAAATTAATTCACATGGTGACAGGGACATTCATGTCTTGCAGACATTTTCCAGTTTATCTGTTAAGTTTGTACTGATCTCTAAAGTTTAAAATGTGTGTTCCATAAAATTGAACAACTTTGCTGTAATAATATCTCATAATTACTATCCAATCATAAAAATACACAGATAATAGCAGGATTTAGTATCTTTGCACTGGTTTGTAAAACTACTTAGTTTTATATGTGTCGGCTTTTACAAGAGAAAGATTACAGTTTCTAAGAAAACCTTTATATTTCCCTTTCCCAATTCTCATGACACAATGTATGTCTTTTCTTTGTACTACAGGAAATCTGTAGTATCTAACAAAGACTGAATTTTTTATTTATTTTTTCAGAAAGAGTATGGTGATATTGACTGTAGCCGCATGGACCCGTCCATTTTCAATCCTCTAAACGTAGATGTAAGTTGTTGCTTTCCTGCTCAGAACTTCATTATTTATGTGGACAGTGATGATAAAAAATGATTAAAGATGAACAGATTCTTAGGTGGAAATTTTCCCATAATGAGTCTTTCAACTAATTCATATGTGGACAGTTTCGTGTTGGTATGTTGCTGTATATATTTCATTGTGCGTCACTAATAATGTCTGTGTGGGCTTACTTTTGTGATGATTCATTGAATTTAGAATCCGGGTAAATTTCCACACCTATAATCTAATCAGAATTTAGTAAATACATACTGTGTTGGCTAGACCCTTTTAACAAAGTTGGCTAAAGTATAATCACAAACAACCAGAAACTTTGTATACCCTTACTTCACTGATAATAATTGCTCAAACTCTAGATTAAGAAACCATGCTTAATTTCTTTGATCACTTTCCATGCTTTAGGTAGATTGTCATCTTCCAAATCTGAGGGTTACACTATAAATATACCGATCTTCTCAGTACCCTTACTTTCTGATGACAGAATCGAAGCTTCTGTTCATCTCACTTTAATGATGAACCTTTGATTCTGTCACAAGAAACTCCAAGCATGCCAAGTAGGTGTGTGATACCAAGAGAGGGATGCTTGGATTATGAAGATGATAAAAGATATGCTAACTTACTGTTATATTCTCTCATTTCATGATTTAGACAGAGATCACATGATCATTCATATTATCACACAGATTATCACATTTCCTGAAAAGGTTCACATTAAAAGTTCGTTAAATCTCATATTATTACATTTCCTAAAGAGGTTCACACTGAAAACTCGGTAAAATACCTTTCATCAATAATTGATGAACCATTAAACAGGCAATATTGGGTTAACACATTATAAGGGAGGTAACTCTACCACAAAGTGCAGGTTACCAAGGTATCATACCACAAAGTGCAGGTTACCAAGGTATCATGTCAGCATTCATTTTCTATAAGCCTCCATGTTAGGTATCTTGGTATGAATTTTAAAGTTAGAAATGATTGTTATAGTTACAATATACAGTTTCAGCATGTGTTAATTTTCTGGCATGAGCTGGTTAGATAGATGTTTGTTTAACATAGAGGCAGAAATAATGCATAGTTTAGATTTGCATGAATGTTACTGCGAAAAAACCCATTAGATAGGTTTTCATCACCAAATTTACATTAAGATTTTTGGAAAAATTGTGCAAATTTTATTGGAAAGATGTGGTCAAATGTTAACATCTGATTTTGTAACGTTGATAACTTTTGCGGATTTGTTTTATATGATATATATTCTTTATATTTCATGATATATCTATTGTTCCCACAAACGGGGGCTGCTGTGGGCAAGTGGTTAAGGTGTCTGATTCTGCTAGCACTAGCCCTCCACCACTGGGTCGCCGGTTCGAGACCTACGTGGGGCAATCGTCAGGTACTGGTCGTAGGTCGGTGGTTTTTCTCCTGGAACTCTGGTTTACCTCCACCATCAAAACCTGGCTCGTCCTTAAATGACCATAGCTGTTAATAGGACGTAAAACACAAGTAACCTAAAATTTCCCAAAAACATTCATCTGCTACAAAAATATGTAATTAACTAAATTAAAAAAAGATCATAACCCTTTCAAAGAATGCTACTGTACAGAAGCAGAAAAACATGAAATGGTTTACGAAGTGTTTCTTTTGCCCAGGTTGGCTGTCAAGTCTAGAGCTTTTAAAGCTTTTAGGTGCAGTTTTTACTTCCAGCGAAGTGAATAACTTCTTTTGACCTCCAAACAAGGTCTGATAATAATATCATACATACTGTTTATTATGAGGAAGTCTTTAATGAAAGTATGGATTGTCTGCGTCTAATTTGTGTCGTATGTTTGTGTGTGAAATATAAAATAAAAAATAGTTGGAGAGATACTTTGAGATATCCAAATGTAGAACATTTGTGATGAAATATTTGCGACTATAACAGAGTGATGTAGCATTAGAAGGACAGTATGGTCGGATATGTATGTACTGTCACTAACGTTGTGAATGTTATTTTGTCAGCTGACTCCGGAAACCCAGTTTACAGGTACAGACCTTGAGTCTTCTGGTAACTCATCAGAGCTCGAGTCTGGTGATCAAAATGTCACACAAACTAATGTAGTAAGTTGTTACATGGCGTCTCCTTGTTGTCCACTCAACGCTTACCTCCCTTTAAATCACACACTCCCCTTTCCAGTTTCAGGATATTGAATGCAGTATTATTCGACACTTTTTTTTATGCATTTGGACTCTATTCCATCACTCTGAGCGATGCATGCCTGATTTTGATATACATTCACTTTAATGTCACCTTGTCATTCCTAAGACTTAGTTTTTTTTTGTCTCAAATTATTTGAAATTTTAGATCCTTTCTATTTGTGATCTATTGTTATTTTATTTGTAAATTTTACCCAAAAAATTAAGCACAGACACATTCTGTATACATTTACACTATCAATATGATTTCTTCCTGTTCAATCACATTTTCCTAATAGGAATGCTCCTTTCTATTAGTTATAATTGCAAGGACTGCTCCCTTCCCCTCAGTTATCATTGCAAGGACTGCTCCCTTCCCCTCAGTTATCATTGCAAGGATTGCTCCCTTCCCCACAGTTATCATTGCAAGGATTGCTCCCTTCCCCTCAGTTATCATTGCAAGGACTGCGCCCTTCCCCTCGGTTATCATTGCTCGGATTGGTTCTTTCCTTTTAAATTTTGAAGCAATTATTGTTCCCTTCCATTATGCTTCAAAGCATGGACCCAATGTTTTCCGTGTACCTGGTAAGGAATGGTCCTTCAGGCTTCACCCCCTTCTCTTCCTGTCCTTTCTTGAAATATTTGATCGGACCCTGGACTGCCAAAATTCCACAGTGTTTTCCCAGGCCTTGCCTTTCCCATGACATTCAAATGTTCCATGTTGTGGTGTCCTCTGCTTTTGATGTTTTATTTTGCTCTCGATAGATGTTGGCTTTATTTGTTGAGATAATATAATCATAGCTTCATGTCTACCAGGTGTGTCATCACAGATATTTTTGTATAGATTCAAATTATATTAACCCTGTTTATACCACAGCACTAGTCTGATGACTGAAGATATACTTATATATAATATTCTTCTGGTATTTGTTCTTATTTTAAAGGGAAGAGATGGTAACAGGTTTTTAACAATCGTTAAAGAATGTTTAAAACATTACTCTGTGTGCTTAGTCTTTAGACTTTAGGAGAAGGGCTTATACATAAACATGTACCGGTAAGCAGTTGGACCATAATATTTACATTTGCTATGCGTCCTTCCATTACAATGCATTGAGAAGGCAAATGTTGTTATGGGACTATAACACATCATTTGCAATTGTAACGTCATCAATTTCATTGTTGTCAACACTTAATTTGCTGTTCAAAAACTGTTAGAAATAACTAAATAAAGCATAACTACTCTATCAAAAAGTAGATATAAATAATGAATATTTTAGCAAATATTGTTATGGTCCTATAACACACATATCTATTGCTGACAAACTTACATAAAGCGCTACTGTTAATAAGTTTGTAATCAATAGCAATGCGTGTTATATAGGACCAAAACAATATTTGTTGAAACATTCATTGCTTAAGTGAAATTCCATCGAAGTTGAATAATTGTTTGTGGTACTGAAGCCTTTTATTGTGTTAAAATGTTAATTTGATATAAAAAAATAATTATGAATGAGAGACTGTAAATAATTATGAATGAGATTGACTAGACAGTATATTGCCATACCATGTGTATTCTTTCCAGAAGATAATAGCCTAGGGTCCTTTTTTGAGTAGACGTTTTACATGTCTAGGAACAACCAACTGATTATTGATCATTAGCTAATATATTGACCATAACATATGATCATGAATGACTGATATGTTTACTAAAGTGTTCGACCTTTAATGAATAACACATTGACCCAAATACTATGACCTTGAATGAACAACTCATTGACCCAAATAATATGACCTTGAATGAACAACACACATTGACCCAAATACTATGTCCTTGAATGAACAACACATTGACTTGAATATTACCGGGAATGAATAACACATTGACCCAGATACTATGACCTTGAATGAACACCACATTGACCCAAATACTATGTCCTTGAATGAACAACACATTGACTTGAATATTACCGGGAATGAATAACACATTGACCCAGATACTATGACCTTGAATGAACACCACATTGACCCAAATACTATGTCCTTGAATGAACAACACATTGAATTGAATATTACCGGGAATGAATAACACATTGACCCAGATACTATGACCTTGAATGAACAACTCATTGACCCAAATAATATGACCCTTGAATGAACAACACATTGACCCAAATAATATGACCCTTGAATGAACAACACATTGAACCCAATATTTTGACCTTGAATGAACAACACACATTGACCCAAATACTATCTAGGAACAACCAACTGATTATTGATCATTAGCTAATATATTGACCATAACAGATGATCATGAATGACTGATATGTTTACTAAAGGGTTCGACCTTTAATGAATAACACATTGACCCACATACTATGACCTTGAATGAACTACACATTGACCCAAATAATATGCCCCTTGAATGAACAACGCATTGACCCAAATACTATGACCTTGAATGGACAACACATTGAACCCAATATTTTGACCTTGAATGAACAACACATTTACCCAAATCCTATGACCTTGAATGAACAACATACATTGACCCAAATACTATGACCTTTAATGAACAACACACATTGACCCAAATACTATCTAGGAACAACCAACTGATTATTGATCATTAGCTAATATATAGACCATAACATATGATCATGAATGACTGATATGTTTACTAAAGTGTTCGACCTTTAATGAATAACACATTGACCCAAATACCATGACCTTGAATGAACAACACACATTGACCCAAATACTATAACCTTGGATGGACAACACATTGAACCCAATATTTTGACCTTGAATAAACAACACATTGACCCAAATACCATGACCTTGAATGAACAACACATTGAATTGAATATGACCGGGAATGAATAACACATTGACCCAAATACTATGACCTTGAATGAACAACACATTGAACCCAATACTATGACCTTGAATGAACAACACATTGACCCGAATACTATGACCTTGAATGAACAACACATTGACCCAAATACCATGAGCTTGAATGAACAACACATTGACCCAAATACTATGACCTGGAATGAACAACACATTGACCCAAATACTATGACCTTGAATGAATAACACATTGACCCAAATACTATGACCTTGAATGAACAACACATTGACCCAAATAATATGACCCTTGAATGAACAACACATTGACCCAAATACCATGACCTTGAATGAACAACACATTGACCCAAATAATATGACCTTGAATGAACAAAATGTTGACCCAAATACTATGACCTTGAATGAACAACACATTGACCCAAATACTAGGACCTTGAATGAACAACACATTGAATTGAATATGACCTTGAATGAATAATATGTGAACATATACCTTTGAATGTACCAAGGTATATTGTACTGAACAAAATAGTATGACTTTGAATTAATATGTTATTGAAGGAAACATGACCTTGATTGAATAATGTTTCTTTGCATACATGTAACTATTTAAACAATTCTGGTTAAAGTTTCTCAAAAAGTCTTTGTTAAAAACATATTTTTTTTTAATTGAAGTGTTACATTGGGAAAAAATGTACATTGCATGTGTTAAATAAGAGTAAAGAAATCAGTTCCTGTTGTCGGAGATAATTTGAAGTCTTTCATTTGTTTAAAAGGCTGTCTTTTTATCTTTTCATGTAAATTTAAGTTGATGTTGAAAACAATGACTAAATTTGTGAACTTTCTGTCCTTCCAGACAAATGAAGATGGCTACTCAACTCTCGGTCAGCGCCGTAGACGACAGGCTGAGAAAAACGTTGACGAGGAAGAGAAAGAGGGAGAGAGCAAGAATGACGACGAGTCACGTGTACGACTCGCAGAACAGAGGGAAAAAATGGAAAAAGTAATCCTTTTGGTGAGTGTAACTTTTGGTTCAAATAGTAGAAATGATCCCAGATTCTGATACTGTATATAAACAATTCCATTTCAACTCTGTTCTCCTCATGGATTTCTCTGTTTAGATAGGTTAAGGTTTATTGTGTTAATTTTCTTACAATTCAATATTTCATATTTATCAATCTGAGGGTTAAGTAATGATGAAGGAATGAAAGCGATTTGATATAGAACACTTAAAGAATATGTAGTGGTCCAAGCACTATTTATTAATTGATATAAAGGTATGCTTCGTCAGACAGTATTTTACTTTGATAGCATGTTTGTATCACCAAAAAGCAAGTGATCACCTTGAGTGTGTTTCAGATGTCCATTAAGTGCTGAAAATAATTTCAAAGATATTCAATGCTATAATAGAATTAGGATTGTCCTAGTCTCATTACTGATTCAAGCAACCACATTTTTTTTGGTGTTGAATCTGTTCCTTCCAGGCCCAGGTGTTCAAAAGGCTGTTAATATAAATAATGGTCTACTGCATGATTCATTTACAATAAAACCTCATTATACTGCCACCGTTTGTCAAGAGAAGTGTTGACATTATAAAGGCATTATATACATTGACATATGTTAGTGGTAAACATTGTTGCAATTAATGAGGGGTATTATGTCACGATTCTACTGTATAACGTAAACATGTTTGTTTTACAGAGCTGTGAAAATGAAAATGTACGATGTTCCCGTTTGACATGTACGATCTACCGTCTTGGTCCCAGGGACTCTGCAAGTGTTAAGGTCATTGCTAGGCTATGGGAAAGTACCCTACTGGAGGACTTCCCGGCTGTGGATATGGTCAAGATACAGTCTAGAGGTCAAGTGAAGCTTGACCCTGCTCTTAATATAGAACAATCAGATTTACTGGATGATATTGACGTGGTGAGTACTCTTTATAAGATTACTTTTTACGCTCTGGGGGGGGTGGGTGTGTAATGTTGACCTTTTCTGTCAGTTCTTTCTTACATCAGTCTGTCTTTCCACATACAACATTTGGGTAACATTTTGCTACTGGCTTGATAATTCTGACAGTCATCAAAGTTCACTATGTGGATGTGTATCGAATGTAGGTCACTGTGACCTATATTTTCTGATTCACTGACTGTCGTTGAACTATGCATTTAGCTCCTTTTCTTTGGTAAAACTTTTGGGTTTAGCTCCATTTCCATGTGAGATCAGCTAAATGCAAAGATTTTACCAAAGACATGGAGCCCAATGGAAGTATTTTCTGTTCTATAAGAAGAGGTGTCTAGACAGTGAGTTAATCTGAAGTTATTAAAGTGATCAGTTATAAAAATCTAATTGGTTTCATGACAGAAATGTTTATAGTTTAAAGTTATAGAATGTGTATCAGGGAAATAGCAAATTTATGGTACCCTGAGGTGAAAAACTATTTCCAGAGGCTGCAAAGCAACCGAGAGAAATAGTTTTTCACCGAGGGTGACCATAAATTTGCTGTTTGTTGTATTACCCATTATATAACTGTTATATTATAACGAAACAAATAAAGGCAATTTAACAAATGGATTTATTAATTCATTTCTTTAAACAATTACAAAGAGAAAAAAATATTACAATTGGAAGTGCTATGCATCGTCGTTGATGATATCGTCATTTCTAGCATTCAAGAAGTGTTTTGTAGACCATATCTAATGGTCACCATTGATTTTCTGGCATATTTACTCCCATCAGAGACGTAGATGTAATAGATACGTCTCTGGTCCATCCACGTTTTGAAGGTCTGCGTAAAACTTGCGTAGACACACGTTCACTTCCTCTGTGCTTGTTCTGTCCTAGCTGTCGACACCTCCTGCATTCCCTTCTGTTAGATTAGTTTGAAGTAAATTCACTGCAGTCTTACAAACAGCTTTTGTATTTTAGCTGTACTTTTAGCGTCCATAATATGCTGTAATTCCTCATCAGTAAGATTATCAAAACGGCCTACATCGGTGGCCATTTTCGCTGTTGTCGTTTGGCTCTGAATTGTGATGTCACCTGCGTCACGGAGAAGGCCCGGCGCCCACCAAATGTTTTCATTGGTTGAAATTTTACAAGCTCTGCCTACAAATATTCATGAGGGAGTAGTCCTCTCTCTGGCAGGGAGTAGTCCTTTCTTACAGGGAGTAGTCTTATTTTGGAGAGGGAGTAGCCCTCAGACGGAGAGATTTAAGTGATTTTAAGGAAATAGGTCCTTTTATCGTACTGTTTTTATATTAGGAAAACACATTAGAGGTAAAGTAACATTATTTGTTAGCACAAATAGAACAATTTGTGACATTTATTGAATATTACTTAAATGATTGCCATTATCCTATTACAGGGATGAAATAAAGTCATTGATAAATTAGGAAAATTTATTTGTTTTTTGTATTTTATAAGTTCTTCCTTGAAGGAGAATTACTGGATACAGTATATCACAACAAGGACAGATCTGTGTCTTGTAAAAACTTTTGGATTACAATCTCAATATATTTGGATAACTTATCTAAACTTAAAATTGATAGAGTGCTAATGATCCACTTTGTCTTTCCCCAGGCAACAACATACACCATTCCAGACGTGGCAACACGGCCAGCCAAAGATGTGGCCTGGTGGATTATACTGGTGGCAGTAGTGGGGGGCATCGTCTTGCTCGTGGTGTTGATCATACTCCTCTGTCTGGTAAGTGGTGGCGATGTCATTGTATAGGTCAGATTCTTGTTTACAGACTTGTGTTGATCATACTTCTCTGTCTGGTAAGAGGTGGCGATTTCATTGTATAGGTCAGATACTTGTTTACAGACTTGTGTTGATCATACATCTCTGTCTGGTAAGTGGTGGCGATTTCATTGTATAGGTCAGATACTTGTTTACAGACTTGTGTTGATCATTCTCCTTTGTCTGGTAAGTGGTGACGATTTCATTGTATATATAGGTCAGATACTTGTTTACAGACTTGTGTTGATCATTTTCCTCTGTCTGGTAAGTGGTTGTTGATCATTCTCCTTTGTCTGGTAAGTGGTGACGATTTCATTGTATATATAGGTCAGATACTTGTTTACAGACTTGTGTTGATTATTCTTCTCTGTCTGGTAAGTGGTTGCGATGTCATTGTATAGGTCGGATACTTGTTTACAGACTTGTGTTGATCATTTTACTCTGTCTGGTAAGTGGTGACGATTTCATTGTACTGGTCAGATACTTGTTTACAGACTTGTGTTGATCATTCTCCTCTGTCTGGTAAGTGGTGACGATTTCATTGTATAGGTCAGATACTTGTTTACAGACTTGTGTTGATTATCCTTCTCTGTCTGGTAAGTGGTTGCGATGTCATTGTATAGGTCAGATACTTGTTTACAGACTTGTGTTGATCATTCTCCTCTGTCTGGTAAGTGGTGACGATTTCATTGTATAGGTCAGATACTTGTTTACAGACTTGTGTTGATCATTCTCCTCTGTCTGGTAAGTGGTGACGATTTCATTGTATAGGTCAGATACTTGTTTACAGACTTGTGTTGATCATTCTCCTCTGTCTGGTAAGTGGTGACGATTTCATTGTATAGGTCAGATACTTGTTTACAGACTTGTGTTGATCATTCTCCTCTGTCTGGTAAGTGGTGACGATTTCATTGTATAGGTCAGATACTTGTTTACAGACTTGTGTTGATCATTCTCCTCTGTCTGGTAAGTGGTGACGATTTCATTGTATAGGTCAGATACTTGTTTACAGACTTGTGTTGATCATTCTCCTCTGTCTGGTAAGTGGTGACGATTTCATTGTATAGGTCAGATACTTGTTTACAGACTTGTGTTGATCATTCTCCTCTGTCTGGTAAGTGGTGACGATTTCATTGTATAGGTCAGATACTTGTTTACAGACTTGTGTTGATCATTCTCCTCTGTCTGGTAAGTGGTGACGATTTCATTGTATAGGTCAGATACTTGTTTACAGACTTGTGTTGATCATTCTCCTCTGTCTGGTAAGTGGTGACGATTTCATTGTATAGGTCAGATACTTGTTTACAGACTTGTGTTGATCATTCTCCTCTGTCTGGTAAGTGGTGACGATTTCATTGTATAGGTCAGATACTTGTTTACAGACTTGTGTTGATCATTCTCCTCTGTCTGGTAAGTGGTGACGATTTCATTGTATAGGTCAGATACTTGTTTACAGACTTGTGTTGATCATTCTCCTCTGTCTGGTAAGTGGTGACGATTTCATTGTATAGGTCAGATACTTGTTTACAGACTTGTGTTGATCATTCTCCTCTGTCTGGTAAGTGGTGACGATTTCATTGTATAGGTCAGATACTTGTTTACAGACTTGTGTTGATCATTCTCCTCTGTCTGGTAAGTGGTGACGATTTCATTGTATAGGTCAGATACTTGTTTACAGACTTGTGTTGATCATTCTCCTCTGTCTGGTAAGTGGTGACGATTTCATTGTATAGGTCAGATACTTGTTTACAGACTTGTGTTGATCATTCTCCTCTGTCTGGTAAGTGGTGACGATTTCATTGTATAGGTCAGATACTTGTTTACAGACTTGTGTTGATCATTCTCCTCTGTCTGGTAAGTGGTGACGATTTCATTGTATAGGTCAGATACTTGTTTACAGACTTGTGTTGATCATTCTCCTCTGTCTGGTAAGTGGTGACGATTTCATTGTATAGGTCAGATACTTGTTTACAGACTTGTGTTGATCATTCTCCTCTGTCTGGTAAGTGGTGACGATTTCATTGTATAGGTCAGATACTTGTTTACAGACTTGTGTTGATCATTCTCCTCTGTCTGGTAAGTGGTGACGATTTCATTGTATAGGTCAGATACTTGTTTACAGACTTGTGTTGATCATTCTCCTCTGTCTGGTAAGTGGTGACGATTTCATTGTATAGGTCAGATACTTGTTTACAGACTTGTGTTGATCATTCTCCTCTGTCTGGTAAGTGGTGACGATTTCATTGTATAGGTCAGATACTTGTTTACAGACTTGTGTTGATCATTCTCCTCTGTCTGGTAAGTGGTGACGATTTCATTGTATAGGTCAGATACTTGTTTACAGACTTGTGTTGATCATTCTCCTCTGTCTGGTAAGTGGTGACGATTTCATTGTATAGGTCAGATACTTGTTTACAGACTTGTGTTGATCATTCTCCTCTGTCTGGTAAGTGGTGACGATTTCATTGTATAGGTCAGATACTTGTTTACAGACTTGTGTTGATCATTCTCCTCTGTCTGGTAAGTGGTGACGATTTCATTGTATAGGTCAGATACTTGTTTACAGACTTGTGTTGATCATTCTCCTCTGTCTGGTAAGTGGTGACGATTTCATTGTATAGGTCAGATACTTGTTTACAGACTTGTGTTGATCATTCTCCTCTGTCTGGTAAGTGGTGACGATTTCATTGTATAGGTCAGATACTTGTTTACAGACTTGTGTTGATCATTCTCCTCTGTCTGGTAAGTGGTGACGATTTCATTGTACAGGTCAGATACTTGTTTACAGACTTGTGTTGATCATTCTCCTCTGTCTGGTAAGTGGTGACGATTTCATTGTACAGGTCAGATACTTGTTTACAGACTTAACCAGCTCTCTTAAAACTTTTTCACTTAACTGATAAAACCAGCTCAGTGAAGCTGTCTAATTTGCTTAGCCTGAACACTGTATACCCGGTAGTAGTGTATTTTTCATTTCAGAACATTTTATTGTATAGAAGGAATAAGGCAACAGGCAAAGCCCTCTCTTTGGTTGTGTATGCATAAATATATATTTTAGCTTACTTCGAATGAGTGGCATAGATAAACCAACTTTGAAGGTCAGATTATTAAAATCACTTAAAATCTTCTTATGAATATTCATAAGATGCAGTGTTTTTTCTCCTGGAACTCCGACTTTCCTCCACCATCAAAACCTGGCACGTCCTTAAATGACCATAGCTGTTAATAGGTCGTAAAATACAAACATACCAAACCAAACTGTGAATTATACAGGTGTTATAGGCCTCTTGTAATCTCCTTGGCACACTGTTGATATGATACTGTGATGATATGGCACCAATATTTTAATATACCTGTTATACATTTTCTACAGTGTGGATTCTTCAAGAGGATTCGACCCACCAAAAACGAGGGGTATGAACCTACCTATCGCGGAGAAATCATATCTGGTATTGAGAAAAATGGAGAATTCAAGTAGATGTTTGATTTTGAAGATAACCGTCCAAGATGATCAAACACTAAACTACAAGACATTCCATAAACTTTACAAGTGCAGGTCAATTAGGAATGGTACCAATGTCTGGCTGTGAAAACGAGGGAGGAGACTGGATTCACATGTCAAGAGATATCAACAAACCACCAGTTTATTACAAAGTTTGCCTCCATGGCAGATTTAATGTGGATATTGTTTTGTACAGTAAAACAAGAACATGTGAATTTGTAAATTATTGTGCAATATTGAAACAATTCCATCAGCAAGAGAAATCAAGGATAACATTTCCTTTGAATATCTTGTAACATGTTTGAAGAACTCACAGTATAGATGCTTTACCTCTAGATACTATTTTTGGATTTTGGATTTTTTTTTCTTAACAATATATTGTTGACGATCTCGGAGTAAAGTGCATCTGAGTGAGAAAATCTTGACATATAAAGTGGAATATGGTTTCATTAAGGTTGAATTTTTAAACAAATGAAAACGATCATTCTACCGCTAAATAATATTCAGCAGGATAAATTCTTTAACATTTTTAAAGGGATCCGAGTAGTACTGTACACAGCTTTGCTTCTGCGCCGATATTTTAACATTTTCAGGAAGAAGTACGATTTCACAGTGCTAGATTTGTTGTTTCAAACATTGTCTGTTCCCTCTTTCCTTAATTGTTATTTGCTGTGACTGTTTTTAGAAGATGAGGAATACCACAGAAGTTGTGAACATTATAACACACTTTTACTAGGTGTTGCTTTGAACAACAGACTTATACAAATTTGTCGTGTTGAATGGGTTATTTGATTCCTGCAAACTGTCTATCCAGCAAATTCAGACACAATCACAATCACTTTGATGTATATTGCTGGTCCTAACCTGCAACGTGAAATCAGAAGTTAAGATGTTTTCAGGGTTTTTTCAGGGAAAATGGATAAAAAACATTCAGTGTCGTTTCACCTGTACAACAGAGATAACAGTGCCTCAAAAATTAACAATGATATATAGTGCCATTTACATTAACTTTGAGATAGGTAAGATGTTCATTAACAAAAGAGATTGGGCCAGATAGAAATCTTCGTTTGAATAAATGAACAGAGGAAATGCTATATAAATGGTGATTAAAAATGTAGCTGAATTTTGTAGATCTGTATTCCAGAAAATTTGTGTTACAGTTTCATTTTTCGCCTTAGTCACCCTCTGTAATAAGGCTAATTTATCTATCATTTACAGCAAGTGAAGGGCAAAGTTTGACTGGACGAAAAGTCCCCGTTATACATGAATTGAATTAATATCAAGTTTAGTTTAGTATGATGATTTCAAAGAGTATGACATTATTATATTGTATATTGTACTTGGTGAATTGTAATAATGAAATATAGTCTGGAAAATTGTCAATGAGCAGAAATTCTCGTAGTCTTGATAAATATGTCGTTGAATACCGTAAATTCACTGTGAATTCCAAGCATGGGCTAAACACAGGTGGAATTTGGTATCTTCCAATGAAGTTTAGGTAATTGAATTATGATTGAATATGATTGACATATTAATTTTAATCTGTGATATGTAGAAATTTATATTTTACTCCTTAAATATTGATATCGGTAGACTGATGCCAAAATATGATACATTCAGTATACTTACTAGCTCCTTAAAACAAGTGTATGGATGTCAAATGTTGTATTGAAATGTACTGCAGTTTTGTATTTGCTTTGTATATGGAAGGCTTCAGTTTATTGCTTGTAGGTCTCGGGATCACAAAACAGTGCAAGTTTTAAGTCTAACTTTCAAATGATAAAAAAGTAATATTTCTCTTGGATATCAGTTTAATCACGGACTTATATAGTCTAATTCCGTGGTTTAATGTACACTAATTTACTTAGCCCTTTAACCCCTATGTAACTTTAGTAGACTCTACCATGCATTGATATGGATGAGTCCATTATATGGTCTACAGTGGTGAAATGGTTAATCAGTTTTCGATGAGGAACAGAAAATTAAAGAATAAACATTTAAATTTGAGCTTAAATCTACATTGGTTGTGATTTTGAGACCAGGTTTGTCTTTGTATATAGTCGAACATAGTTTGCCTAAAATCTTTAGTTTCCAAAAAATATCATAAATGCATGTAAAACATTTTCAGGAGTAATGGACATTTTTTGCCCTCTGCTTTGTGTATAAATTATGGCAATTGTGATCAAAGGATTGCTTCCTGAATGTCATCAAAAACGTTTTGGTTGTCATAGTAACAGATTAATAGTATTGCTTTGTATATGACAGAGAATTTTATATCCCTAAAGATTTTTTTGTGAAAACTTTTCTGTTGTCACTTTATTTTAAACTTGAGGTTGGATTTATAATTTACATCCCTAAAAGTAATCTAAGAATACTTGAACCTTTTTTTCAATGTTGTCTTTTTTCTATCATTATAACAACATTCTTGTACTTATTATATATATATATATATAAAACAAATGACAAGAGTTTCTTAGTACCTCCCTAGCGCTTTCATCTCTTTAGACGTTCATGAGGGGATATATATAAATAGGCAAAAAGGGGCAACATTTTCATTGAATTTTTTTTATCATTGATATTTTCATTTTATTATGCCAGTAAAACAACAAAATCAAATTGTGAAAAACAGTAAATTGGAAAAAAATCCTAACATTTCATAACAAAATCAGGGACAATTTTTCTTTTCATTCTAGTTTTACGATACAAAGATTGTGATTATGATTGACTGAAAGAATCAGTATAGTGGTATATGCTTTAATCATTGATAATTTATAGGAGATAATAATAATGAATTATAGTGTAGATTGGTAGTCAAGTCAAGTTGGTTTGTGTTGAAAGTTCAGAGAAACAATTATATACAACAATGTAGAGGTTTTCCTTTCACAAATTAAGAAATTCATCCATTTCCAATTTTACAACAGGAGAAGAAAATGAAAAAATGTAATTTCCATTATTTGTGTTAATTGATATTTATCACATACTGGTAATGTACTGTGTTATCCAGTGAATATTAACCCATGTAATATGACCTATCAGCCCTGTGATTGGTTGTAAGTTTCAATTGTTTCAATTGTGACGTCACGCTAGGACAAGTACATGCCGTCACAGACTTCCGCACTGGAGTCAAAATGGCGGCTTTTTACATTTCAAGGTTGCACGAAAATTGTTGTTTTACACAAACAAATGCTACAAATCTTGATTATGTGATAAAAAAGATCGTGCAATTGTTTTCATTTCATATGAAATTTATGAAACTTGTGACAAATTTTTCATCTTAGCTCGCCAGAGGCTTGCTAAATTGAAAAATTCTTAGACTTGTTTCATAAATCTCATATAAAATGGAAACTCATGTAAGATCCTATATATATTGAGGTCAAATAATGAAGATATATTGTCAAAGCCATATCAAGATGATACTTGTTAGCAGTTGATTCATTTATGTGCTGGCTGGTTTGATATGGCTAAACCAATATTTCAGTAGAGACTTTGATTCATTATAGATTAGAACCTTGGTGGTTTTTTAACCATAACTTTATTTCTACAAACAAAATATTAAACTTTCGAAGTTCACAGATAACTGAAGCAAGATTCATAAAAAATTAGCTTTGATCCAATTCACTGGTGTTTGAAATTTGAGATTCTGTTTTGTGATATTCTACCACAACCCCACTAAACTCTACTTTCAGTTAAATATATAACTTGCCATTTAAATCTATAATTAGGATTTACTAATAATTGATCAATAACTTCCACATTATCAAATGTTGTATGTATATAGTTTATTGAGTTTACACATTTAACCTGATAATGTATATTATATATAATTCAAAACCATTCCTAAGTCAAACATTTAGCAAGTGCTGTGTAACCCGTGTTGTACTTCCATGTATTAATTAAATTAATTTTACGTATTTAGAAATATTTCATTTACGGATAATCCCATAGCAATGTATATATTTTTTTTCTTCTTAAATACCATTTGAGGTGAATTATATCATGGTTTCTTTGCAAGGTGCTTGTTTTAATTTCAAAGATATTAACATGCGTGAGTGTACATATATTTACATTTACATTTATGCTTTACCATAGCTTTTGTTGGAAATCTTGATTTGTATGATATTATATGTATTATTTGCTACTCGCCCAAAGTCATTTCCACCTGATTTGTTGAACCAATAATTGCCAGAAAGAAACTCAATGAATTTTCTATAGAATTTTACAAATAATATTACCATTTTACTACACTCACCGAGTTGTTCTTTGAAAAACTCAATGGTGTTGATTCTTTTAATGACCAAGACATTTTTTCGGAATACATACAAATTCAAAAAAAGGGGAATGTCTCCTATTGGTGGTTATATAAACAGCTCAATTCTCCAGCATGCTCCCCAAGACGACACAGAGATAGGATCTCAATCTAAACTTACCTGATACATCTGATGTCCCCAACATTGCTGAAGCTGTGCTGTAAGACAAATGTGAGTTACTGCATGCCCTTTTTCAAATGTAAAATGAGCATATCTGCAATTTATCTTTATATCTGGCATGTGATTTTATCACAAAATTTTCGAAATCTAGAAAACGAATCTACCAATGGTATAATATACGAATCCCTACAGTAGAAGGGACGATGATTCGGAAGGTAAATAATTGTTTACTACATTGTATAATCACTTTTAATTCCGTAGTTTTAGTAATGTGTATATGTGATGTCACTTGTTCTTTTAACCACATCCCTCTCTGTAGATAGGTGGGTATAGTAGTGAAGCAGTATATAGGAGTTGTAGAGCTAATGCCCTACATGTCAGCACAGTATGTACAGGAGCTTGTATCATCATAAATTGTTGTGTAAACACTGCTATTTTCAATAGTCTCTAGGCACGGTTGCAATCGTCGGCCATATTTTGGATGGGTGTAAGTAAGAATTAACTTCGTTAAATTAACTTTTGAAACGTTTTTGATTTTTAGAGTTACTTCTTCCTTTGTAGTTAGATAAAGCCTTGGCCTGTCCTTCTTATAGTCTAACACTGGACTCCTTAACTCATTCATCCCTGAAGACACATTTGAACTCTTCCAATTCAAAGGTTGGAATAGTTCATTATGAAATTTCAAGGGTGAATGTGTTTGGTTATTTGCTGCTTTATAATATTTGTCTCCTATAGAGTTCGAAAATATATATAATATATAAATTGCTTTATATGGAGCCTATTTGAATCTGATTTTTTTTATTGTTTAACTTCTATATTAAATTCTATTTGCAAATTTTAATTCAAGAAATCCATTCAATTTGTGCTCAATAATTTCCTACTCAAGTGCTACGTACATCTAGAGAATATTTCTGTTTAAATTACCCCGAGTACACTTACGATTGTTTTAATAATTACCTTTTACCTACATGGCTTATAAGGCAATCTGATAGGTTTAATTCAGTTTTGCAACAATAATCAATAGTTTGATAACACGGCTATAAGAATATGAAAAAATATGATAAAGAAAACATTCTTCATATGCTTTCCTTTGAGTAATCTGAAAATCTTCAAGAGTCTAGTAAAAATATCCAGACAGTGGGAAATTCTTAAGAAAGTAAGTCGTTTTGAGATGCTTTTGTGAATATATGTTTGTAGATAAGTTTGTTTAGGGTTGCATACCCGGTAGATTGCACCTGATCGCTGTAAATAATCCTCAGCACATCCACAGCTTCGTATTCCGTGTAACCTAGCCTCCTATGTAATGTTGTGTAGTTGTAGTTACCGGCACCATATGTTCAAAGTGTTGTTAGCTTGATGCATCAAAAAGCTGACAATACCTAGTATGTCCACTATTTGATGGGTTAAGCTAACAATGCTTTGGTAAACATGGGTCCATATGTATAATTGTAGTGGCTGTATATGTTTGACCACAAGTTTGACTGATTGGTTGATCTTAACGATGACCCATTTTTTGATGGTTAGCTTTGATTTTGAGGTTCAAGAGTTTAAGTTGAAGAAATATGAAATTTATTGGATGGGACATGCACTTTTTTTGGTTAATCCTTTTACCACTGCAGACCACAATGGGCTCATCCAGATCATTGCTTGGTAGAGTTTATTAATTTGCATAGGGGTGAAATGTGTAAAAAGTATAGCCAGCATAGATCAAGGCAAAATAGTGATATGTTGAAAGTACAAGACGAAATGAAAAATAATATCATGACAGTGACTTTGGCATTATTCAATCAATTCATTCAATCAAAACTCATCAATTCAATTAATAGGACTCCTTTAGGTTGAGTGTACAATTGCCTCACATTGATCTTGAGATTGAGTTTTGGTCTGTCCCTTAGTATGATGTTACTGTTAGATTTGGGTTTGACCTTGAGATTTGACCTGGAGGTTAACTTGTGGATCATTGTCTGCTGCTTCAGTGAGATAAGCCTCTCCACATGTTGAGCTTTTAGTGTGCTTTAAGTATAAATATATATATATAGAGAGACTAATAGTTAACTCATAGATCATCACACGAGAGTTTGTCTATTCACCGCCAAGATGACAAAGCCAGGGTAACAGTTGTTACCTGAAATTCTTAAGTATAATATTTAGAAACATTTTGATCCATTAAACAGGTGTATTGAAATCCAAATTTCTTTGATAAAAAAAATGTATTGTTAAAGTAATCTCTTTGATCGGTATGATGATAATCAGGTTTGAAAGCCTCTTGTATGATGCTGAATTTGAACTTCATCATCTTTCTTTAAGTAAATTGATGCGGTGAATAGATACAACATCTCACGTGTGCATTTTTATAGCTTTTCTTGTTTGTAAGTGGTCATTTGTATAAAACACATCATTCCATTTGTAAATATTGGTCACAACGGTATTAAGAGTATAGAAAATATACTTTAAACTTACGCATTTATTTGTCGGAGATCTAAATATAGAAATTGATGTTTCTACCATAACAACCAAGATATTTGTTATGTACCCATCAGTAAGACAAAGCCATTCATCCTGAACTCGTCATCAATACAGGCCTTAGTCTTGTGTTCATAAACATAAATGTCCTGCAGTCATCCAAAATCAACACCTTAGTCATAAACTCATTAAAAACACAGCCGTTGTCATGTGCTCATCACAAATGCAGCCCATTGTCCTGTGCTCATCAAAAAACACAGCCATTGGACTATGCTCATCAAATACACAGCCATTGTCCTGTGCTCATCAAAAACACAGCCATTTGTCCTGTGCTCATCAAAAACACAGCCATTTGTCCTGTGCTCATCAAAAACACAGCCATTTGACTGGTCATAAAAAAACATGACCGTTTGGCCAGTGTTTGTCATCAAGACATTTGTGGTGTTCTCATCCTTCATATATTCAGGAAAAAGTGAATACTGTGTGTCGGAGGAATCAGCTACTTAAAATAGAAAAAGAATTACGGTAAGATGAAAAATGCATCAAAATTGTTTTCAGAGAGAAACTAAGTAGACTTAGATTCATATTGTTATTATTTACGATATAAAGACTGAGACAAGAATTCCGGAACATGTGTCAATCAGAACAATTTGTATTTCTAATTGTTGCTACACTTAAACACTTCAGTTTGGAGACATTATATAAAACGTTAACACAACTTATCAGCTGAATGGTTCTCTTAAGTAAATACTTACATAAATATAATCTGCTCGACAACACCATTTTTTGTGTACGAATGGTGACTTAGACAAATTTGTACTAAATAAGAAGTTGTATTTCTGTAAGCCATGGTCATTAACAATACTGTAAACGTGGACATTTTTGTGACATGAAAATGCTCAAGTTTGAGTTAACCCTTTCACCCCTAGGTAACTTTAGTAGACTCTACCATGCATTACCTGGGAATGAGTCCATTATGGTCTACGGTGGTGAAAGAGTTAATCAGTGCAAAGATATAGGACATGACCATTGATTTATAGATTATATAGAGTAATGACAGATAGAATATAAAGATTTCGGAACCAATGCTAACGCGAAACTTTCCAAACTGCATGCAGTTTAAATCATCATAACACAAACATTTTTTCCACACACAAACATTATCAGTTTTACAGTATCTATATTACTCGAGGTATGTTACATATAAATGTACGTATATGCCAATCAGTATAGTCGTAACACTATTTAACCACTTCCCTTTTATGTCGGGATTATATTTGTCAGGAGTATGACAGTGTTTATTTATATGATGAATTATGATAGTACATGTAGTAACCCATCTGTTAACATCATATTTCATTACTAATATTATACTTGGTTGTCAAGAGCTGGCAATTCTGGAGTAAGACAATGTAAAATGTATAACTAAAACCTACTTTGTATGTCAGTGTATGATGAGAGGGAGTTACCACTCAGAGACAATTTATAACATTATAACAAAGAATGACATAATATACAATGCCTTAATCAGGTGATAAACTTGTGAAGCGGAACCATTGTTTTAACTCAGATCTCATTCCAGAACTTGTGTGTGATTAATTCATTCACCCCTGAAATTTCATAATGAACTATTCAAACCTTTGAATTGGAAGAGTTTAAATGTGTCTTCAGGGGTGTATAAAGTTAAAGATAAAACGTTACTGGTTACGTTACTATGTTTGCTCAGTCTGGACGGTAAAAGTATTTCGTAATTTCAGGTCATAATTCTGATACTTTATGCATTTTTTTAAATGATATATATATCTTGTTTATTGAAATATTTTGTAAATTAAATATAGTAAATTTTAATGGTAAATTCATTTCTTTTCAAGTGAAAGTCAATAAATTTGTTAAAGAGGTTTATATCTTTCTCAGTATTTCTGTTGGTTTAAACTTTTTGTCTTACATTCTATTTTCTTCAAATTATTTCACTAATTATCAGATAAGATTTTACAGGTTATTTCAAAATTGTTTTCATGAAAACTTTGCGTACGCAGAATATGTTAGGCTTGCATACAAATATGTTGTGTTTGTCCAGACCATTTAATTTAACCCTGAATTAGCGCACCAAGATCGTTTAGGAATGACTTGTGCCATATCACAGATTGTCAGAATGAGGAAATCTGGGTATATACTAACCGTGATATGCTTTTAAGAGCTTTTTACAAATATCTTTTTCTAAAGTTTTGTTGTATGAAATATTTTTTTATTTTATTTTGACTGGTTGTGAATGTAACATATTTTCCCAGTTTTTCCGTTGTCCAGCAATGATGGGGTGAATTCTGTTTGATTTTGATATTTTGTGTTTGAATTAGCTTCCATATTGCATGAAGGCGTTGGTAACATACAGATACAGAATCTTAAATTCGTGTTCATGGTATGTTTTGATTTTTACAATTTATGCGTTGATTGATATTCCAGTTTTGCGTAATTCCTTTTTGCTTAAATTGTCAAATCGTTCAAACGTTTTTACCCAACCTCCTTTTTGTAGTGGAGCATGGTTCACTCTGCCATAGATACTAGTTATATTTTCGTTCGGATGCAGACAAGGTAATCAGGGCCCACCTGTATAAAACATCTCAACTCTTGAGATTTCCTAAAGTCTAAGTATTCCCATAGAAAATACATTGCTTGAGATTTTCCTTAACTTTGAGATGTTTTATACAAGTGGGCCCTGCAAGTTAACAATGAAGGTTTGCATGAAGAACAACCAGCTGTCATCTTTTCGTCAGTCTAGTATTGATTTATCGGGGTTACACTGCAAGCTCCCAAACCTGAAATTTGGAAAAAGACATTGATATAGTCTGTTTACAAATTAAGTTACCGTCCAGATTATTTTCATCTATTCGTTCAACATTGTAACATTCCATGATTCTGTTATCGAAAAGGTTGCATGCCAATATATATATATGAGTTTCTTCAGCTACTCATGATTGTAATTAACTCGTTTACCCTGAAATTTCAGAATGAATTATTACTTCAACCTTTGAATTGGAAGAGTTCAAATGTGTCTTCGGGGGTAAATGAGTTGAGACTTCAAAATAAACTGTTTAGTCTAGGCTATGCAATTCTTAACTGACGATTGTGATATTATTGAGCAATTTAGACTTTGCATTAAAGTGGGATTATAGAAAACATTTAATAGGTTGGAAAGACATGCGTTACTTGTAGTGCCTTTGTTTATTACGATATAAGAGGAGGATTTTTTGCCTTTGGTATCAGTACTGCCAGTAAATAGCTTCAAGTTTTGGCTGCAGTGCCTTCTATGTAGTTTAAGATATTGCTCTTTGGTAAACAGGTGTTCTGTCAAATGTATGATTAGTTTTGATCGTTTTCTGCTACTATGCATATAACATTGTTTTATACCAGCGTAAATCTAGGATTCATTATTTTGTATTTTCTAACGGTTACTTTACAGTAAAGACATTTTTCGTGCATTTGATATCTACCATCGATGAATTCTGGTGGCGAGGAGATTAGTCAAGAAACAGTCCGTTAGAATGACGGAAGAATTGATTGCCTACTGGATAGATCATTCTGCCAAAGCATACGGTCTTTTACCCTACTTGAGTCCAACCATTTTGATGCTTACTGATTTTACTGTGATTGCTCCAGGACGGAGCAAGGTTTTAATGTTGTAAGGAGGGTTTGAGAGTTTTTTGAGAGTGACTGGTTTGTATATCTGTTTATACGTGTTATTTGTACGTGTAATCATGACCACCTAACATCATCATGCTTCATGTCTATCATGCAGTACATAAAGGCCATACATTTCCAATAAAGAAATATTATTTTATGAAAGAAACTTGTTTTCCTTATATACTCAATGAATATGTATGTTTTTCTTGTAATACAGTTGCACTCCTATTATCTCCAAAAGCATTCATCAGTTTGGAAATAACTATGTATAAAAAAATGTATACACAACCAATGTACGTATCAAAAGTGTCGCAACGTTTCAAGACCGACTGGTCTCTTTGTTGGCTGAACAGGGTTTAACGTCCTCTCGACATGCGCGACAGCTACGGTAATTTAAGGACGTGCCTCTGTAGGTTGTGTGTGTGCTGGAGGAGGGTATATTGGGGCCTTTACCTCCTTGTGATTTCGCATATCTGACTACCTTTTGTTTCTTAGAGCATTGCTTGGCAATACCTCACTTTTGGCTTTAAGGTTTATCATTCGCCTAGATTAGGAAATCTGTGGGATCTGTCCCAAGGCCAGGACATACCAATTTCTCCAAAGTCCTAAAAATGGTAGTTGTGACCCCCTGAATAACGTTCAGCATTAAAGGTTACGGCAAAACCTTGTTCACTCGTCAGTATAATGAGACCGGGCGGAATACTGTACTGAGTGCCTTCAGCATGGCATTTCGGTGAGGTAGCACTATTAACTTGTCCCTTTATCAAGCGTTTGACTACATAAAGGAAAACTTTGACAGAGGCACTCCGCTTACAGTTAACTTTTCATGTTTTTCATTTTAAAGTTTTTCATTGGATAAGAGCTACGTTATATTAGCCTTGTTCATTGACGTTTACAAGTCATGTGTCATAATCCAGTCGTGACTGATCCTATTTACCTGGGGTCAGTGTTTTACCCAAAACTAGACGGCGCACCTTTTCTTCACAAAACTATGGTCCCACCATCAAACATTGCATCCACTTTTGCTGGAAGGCTGGAAGCCTAGAAGGTTTAACTTGGCGCCGCGAGTTTGAAACAAACAAGATAGTGTTGTAACAGAAATTGTACCTTTGAACTTCTGAATAATTTGGATATTTCATTTTTGTTTTGCTGGGTATCGAATTAAGTTTCCCAGCAGGGAATGTACATAGGAACGCTACCTCACTATCAAATGTAAGCTGACGATAGCAAGTATTTCGGTTAACCAGATATTATAGATAGAAGCTTGCAAGCTTGTTCCGTCATGTCTGACTACTTGTTTCCCCTGACATCAACGCTACCCCTCAACAGAGAAAACGTCGTATTCCAGCAAGATATTCAATTATACTGTCACACCAATACATTACCACATATATTATAAAGAAAATTAAGAGCCAAATCACCTTGAGGCTCGGAAAACAACATGCAAAGATTAACGAAAAGGAAGAAGTTAATCAAGCAAGGGAAATCTACGTAAGCAATTTGAAAAAAAGGTCTGTTAGGTACTTCTTCAGGAATACCGTCTTGAAATGTCGAAATCCAATATGGCGGCCTGACGGTTGCTTTGATTTACCGATCATTATCAAAATGAAACATACACGACAGCACAGGGGAACTTGCATATGAAATTCGAAACGGATCTGTAAAGTACTTCTCCAGGGATACCGATAACGACATTGAACTGTCAAAATCAAAAATGGCTGCCTGGCGGATTTTTTTATTCAGTGGGGCAAGAAAATTGAGAAACCAAATAAATTTGGATTAACTGAAAGAAACTGAAGGTCTGATTGTAGAAAAAAACTTACATCCGAATATTTCTGTCCTTATATTGGACAAATTTAGCAATATGTTAACAGATAATTGTTGAAAAAACCTGAACTATAAAAAAACAAAATATATAACAAGCACTTTTAAGAATTAGATTTTATTTTCCAGAGAATAATTAACCGTATATTGATTTAACATCAAAAATGCATCTAAATATACAGGCTATGCACTGAACATGTCTATGGCCATATTCATGGACACATAAATGTACAGAAGCCTACCGACGCCGTACAGCCATTGATTGATGTACAGGCGGTGGTTTCCAATTGTAGACATGAGCTGCAGTCCGTGTTGGTGATGCCTCCACAAACAACCGCCCTTAAAGCGCACTCCCGCACACTGTATGCTATGACACCGTCATTCTCGTTGTCCTCCTCACCTCGAATCACTCCAAGTTTAAACGCCACGACAGGACTTATCACTTTAGAATCAAATGCAAATATTGTAGAACGCATTTAGGATAAGACTTACGTTTGTATGTATACTTGTCGACAGCTGTAGGAAATATATGCTCATTTCATAAGACCGATCATAGAACCTTTTCATGCTTGAATGCTATTGTTTTAGTTATCTATTTCATTATTGTAAACTTATATATATATATATAAGCATGAGTACTTTGTATTATCGAACTGCAAATTTGGAGAGAAGTTATTAGACATTCTACTGAAAGGTACACAACAATGTCATAAGCGATCAATTTAATGTAAACATTTAAAACTCAATTTGGAAGCACATTTATATAAAAAAATCACTTTGATTTAATGAAACATATCACGAATACCAACATCGTGTTACTGAGAATGGTACATTTGTACGTTATGGATTACTGTTGTAACCTATACTTACGACATAATCCGAGAGAAGAATAAGAAAACCCCAAGTCGTCGGCATCGTCATCATATACTCGTTGATACGGCTGGGCCCAATTGCTTCTAGGGAACTGGCCCTCGGTATGTAACACACGGAGTGTCAGCAACACGACCACAACAATGAAGCTTGTAGCCTGATACATTGTACTGTGAATATAAACACTGTCGTCAGATATATTGTACTGTTAACATCAACACTGTCGTCAGATACATTGTACTGTGAATATAAACACTGTCGACAGATATATTGTACTGTGAATATAAACACTGTCGTCAGATACATTGTACTGTAAACATCAACACTGTCGTCAGATACATTGTACTGTAAATATCAATACTGTCGTCAGATACATTGTACTGTTAACATCAATACTGTCGTCAGATATATTGTACTGTTAACATCAACACTGTCGTCAGATACATTGTACTGTTAACATCAACACTGTCGTCATATACATTGTACTGTAAACATAAACACTGCCGTCAGATATATTGTACTGTTAACATCAATACTGTCGTCAGATACATTGTACTGTTAACATCAACACTGTTGTCAGATACATTGTACTGTAAATATCAATACTGTCGTCAGATACATTGTACTGTTAACATCAATACTGTTGTCAGATACATTGTACTGTAAATATCAACACTGTCGTCAGATATATTGTACTGTAAACATCAATACTGTCGTCAGATACATTGTACTGTTAACATCAATACTGTTGTCAGATACATTGTACTGTAAATATCAACACTGTCGTCAGATATATTGTACTGTAAACATCAATACTGTCGTCAGATACATTGTACTGTTAACATCAATACTGTTGTCAGATACATTGTACTGTAAATATCAACACTGTCGTCAGATATATTGTACTGTAAACATCAATACTGTCGTCAGATACATTGTACTGTTAACATCAATACTGTTGTCAGATACATTGTACTGTAAATATCAACACTGTCGTCAGATATATTGTACTGTAAACATCAATACTGTCGTCAGATACATTGTACTGTTAACATCAATACTGTTGTCAGATACATTGTACTGTAAACATCAACACTGTCGTCAGATACATTGTACTGTAAACATCAACACTGTCGTCAGATACATTGTACTGTTAACATCAATACTGTTGTCAGATACATTGTACTGTAAATATCAACACTGTCGTCAGATATATTGTACTGTAAACATCAACACTGTCGTCAGATACATTGTACTGTTAACATCAATACTGTTGTCAGATACATTGTACTGTAAATATCAACACTGTCGTCAGATACATTGTACTGTAAACATCAACACTGTCGTCAGATACATTGTACTGTAAATATCAATACTGTCGTCAGATACATTGTACTGTTAACATCAATACTGTTGTCAGATACATTGTACTGTAAATATCAACACTGTCGTCAGATATATTGTACTGTAAACATCAACACTGTCGTCAGATACATTGTACTGTTAACATCAATACTGTTGTCAGATACATTGTACTGTAAATATCAACACTGTCGTCAGATATATTGTACTGTAAACATCAATACTGTCGTCAGATACATTGTACTGTTAACATCAATACTGTTGTCAGATACATTGTACTGTAAATATCAACACTGTCGTCAGATATATTGTACTGTAAACATCAATACTGTCGTCAGATACATTGTACTGTTAACATCAATACTGTTGTCAGATACATTGTACTGTAAATATCAACACTGTCGTCAGATATATTGTACTGTAAACATCAATACTGTCGTCAGATACATTGTACTGTTAACATCAATACTGTTGTCAGATACATTGTACTGTAAATATCAACACTGTCGTCAGATATATTGTACTGTAAACATCAATACTGTCGTCAGATACATTGTACTGTTAACATCAATACTGTTGTCAGATACATTGTACTGTAAATATCAACACTGTCGTCAGATATATTGTACTGTAAACATCAATACTGTCGTCAGATACATTGTACTGTTAACATCAATACTGTTGTCAGATACATTGTACTGTAAATATCAACACTGTCGTCAGATATATTGTACTGTAAACATCAATACTGTCGTCAGATACATTGTACTGTTAACATCAATACTGTTGTCAGATACATTGTACTGTAAATATCAACACTGTCGTCAGATATATTGTACTGTAAACATCAATACTGTCGTCAGATACATTGTACTGTTAACATCAATACTGTTGTCAGATACATTGTACTGTAAATATCAACACTGTCGTCAGATATATTGTACTGTAAACATCAATACTGTCGTCAGATACATTGTACTGTTAACATCAATACTGTTGTCAGATACATTGTACTGTAAATATCAACACTGTCGTCAGATATATTGTACTGTAAACATCAATACTGTCGTCAGATACATTGTACTGTTAACATCAATACTGTTGTCAGATACATTGTACTGTAAATATCAACACTGTCGTCAGATATATTGTACTGTAAACATCAATACTGTCGTCAGATACATTGTACTGTTAACATCAATACTGTTGTCAGATACATTGTACTGTAAATATCAACACTGTCGTCAGATATATTGTACTGTAAACATCAATACTGTCGTCAGATACATTGTACTGTTAACATCAATACTGTTGTCAGATACATTGTACTGTAAATATCAACACTGTCGTCAGATATATTGTACTGTAAACATCAATACTGTCGTCAGATATATTGTACTGTAAATATAAACACTGTCGTCAGAAACATTGTACTGTCAACATCAACACTGTCGTCAGATACATTGTACTGTAAATATCAACACTGTCGTCGGATATATTGTACTGTAAACATCAATACTGTCGTCAGATACATTGTACTGTTAACATCAATACTGTTGTCAGATACATTGTACTGTAAATATCAACACTGTCGTCAGATATATTGTACTGTAAACATCAATACTGTCGTCAGATATATTGTACTGTAAATATAAACACTGTCGTCAGAAACATTGTACTGTCAACATCAACACTGTCGTCAGATACATTGTACTGTAAATATCAACACTGTCGTCGGATATATTGTACTGTAAACACCAATACTGTCGTCAGATACATTGTACTGTTAACATCAACACTGTCGTCAGGTACATTGTACTGTTAACATCAACACTGTCGTCAGATACATTGTACTGTAAACATAAATACTGGCGTCAGATACATTATTATGTGAACATAAACACTGTCGTCAGATACATTGTACTGTTAACATCAACACTGTCGTCAGATATATTGTACTGCTAACATCAACACTGCCGTCAGACACATTTACTGTAAACAGAAATATTGTCGTCAGATACTTTGTACTATATAAATCAACACTGTCATACTGATACATGTTCGCCATGCGAAATTTGTGGAACCTCAGAATTTCCTTACACCTCTTTTCTTTCAAATCTTCAAGCACCCATAACCTGTTGCATCTTTATTAAAATTGACCTGTGTTCTGAAACACACATTAAATTGTTCGAAACAAACGTTTGCGTGCGTCTCTGTTCTAAACTAGACGTTTAGCTTTATATGATATTGTTGTTAAATATCCATTAAATCCATTTAATGCTATGAACACTATGATCACCCGTCAATTCACCCTATACCCTATCTACTGCAGCTATGTTAAATGTGTTCACCATGCTTAGTTAAAGATATATGTATGTACAATAACAAAATAATGCGATATGTCACTCTTCTTAGATACAACTTTTAAATTAGCATCCGGCCAATTTAATCGACACCTCCCTTACTGTAGCTGTATAAAATCATTTTGTTTTGAATAGTTTGCTATATAATAAAGTTACGAACAAATTCCACATGACCCTATATGAACGCCATGAAAATCCCATCAGTTGACTCGATACCCTACCTATTGCAGCTGTATAAAATCACTTTGTGTTCATAATACTAAGCTAAAATATATGTGTTTATGAACAAATTGGTGCGATATGTCACTCTTATATATATATTTTTAAATCCATAAAACCCTATGAACCCTATGAACACCCCATCAATCTACTCAATACCCTACCTAATGCAGTTGTGTAGAAACATTTTGTGTTCAAGATTCTTAGCAAAAAAATGTGTAGGTGTTAATGAACAAATTGATTCGATAAGTAGCTCAAATAAATTTGAACACAAATCCACATAACCCTATGGACGCCACGAGAACCCCATCAATCTACTCAATACCCTACCTAATGCAGCTGCATAAAATCACTTTTTGTTCAAGATTCTTAGCAAAAAATATGTAGGTGTTAATGAACAAATTGATTCGATAAGTAGCTCATATAAATTTGAAAACAAATCGACATAACCCTATGGACGCCACGAGAACCCCATCAATCTACTCAATACCCTACCTAATGCAGCTGCATAAAATCACTTTTTGTTCAGGATTCTTAGCAAAAAATATGTAGGTGTTAATGAACAAATTGTTTCGATAAGTAACTCAAATAAATTTGAAAACAAATCCACATAACCCTATGGACGCCACGAGAACCCCATCAATCTACTCAATACCACTAATGCAGCTGTATTAAATCACCATGTGTTCATAATACTAAAGTAGAAATGCACATGTGTACATTTCTAAATCGACCCTCTGATATTAAAGTTTTTATTGAAGTCATAACAATATCAACTTAGTCGATACCTCTTCTGTTGCAGCTGTATAAACATAGCATTGTTTTACACTTCATTTCATTCAATAGCCATAGTTCTACAGTACATAACATTCCATGGGGCTGGAAAACAAGCTTAGAGCTTTTATTAATACCATCTCGTTGTTTTTGTAGTAATTAGCTTCAAATGTTAATGGGGTTTTTTGACAAATATACCCCATTTGTCCACGTACTTATTGTAATGGTCTATATAATTACATTATAAAATATCCCCTTACTAGCTTTTAACGCTTTGAACATCTATTAACTCATCGACCATTGTACCTACCTAAGATTTAAAACACAAAAAAATGCTAAGCTACAGATATAAGGTTTTCTTTAACATGCGACAACTCTGTCTATTAATATTATAGGTATATAATCATCGAATTAGCGGTAGATAATGATAGTAAACGACAAGATACCAGCAGATATTACAAAACAAGAGAGAGTATACCCCATGTTTTATTTGTGCATGTCATTATTTTAATATCAATGTTAAATAATGTTCAATAAACTACAAGATACCAGCAGGTATCAAAAACAAGAGAGAGTATACCCCATGTTTTATTTGTGCATGTCATTATTTTAATATCAATGTTAAATAATGTTCAATAAACTACAAGATACCAGCAGATATTATATAACAAGTTAGAACTATACCCTATGTTTTCTTGAACATGTCATTATTTTAATATCAACGGTGTAAAATGTTTAATCAACTACAATATACCCACAGAGATTACATTATAAGTTAGAATAATGCCCTATGTTTACTTCAACATGTAACTATTCTATATAAAAATGTTGTACGGCTATAAACTACAGTGGTTACATTATAATTAATTATTATTATTTTGAATTAGATATAATTAAAAGGTTTTTATGAGCCTCCCCTTCTGTTTCAACACTAGTTAAGACCAATTTAGATGTTGACCCGTTGACCCCTAGCATCGCCAATAATTCATAGAAGGACGGAAAATCTGTATGGTTTAGTATACTTGCCATACTGTATCTATTACCAAACTTTATAGGTGCAATCATATTCGAGAGTCATACTTCATCTTTGTACTCTATGTTTACTAGAGCATGTCAGTATTCCAATGTTTATGGTTATAATTATCAGCCAACTAAATTTTATCCATAGAGGTTACGTTACAAGTTACTTTAATACCCTATGTCCAGTCTGACCACTTACCTGTGATATACGTCCCCTGTAGACGGCTCACAACTGGCGACTTACGACTTACCTGTGTATGCCCGGGGGTGGTTTTTGACTTGGTCGCTAGACGAATGAGTTGTATCAACACATCAGGATGTACTTTCACACAGAAATGAATGATGGTGTCATATCGTCTCCTCTGGCTGAATATTCAAATTTAAAATGTATGGCAAAATACTTCTCTTCAATATGTCAGGAACATCTGTTACTTAACATCTATTGGTATGTCAACCGTTAGAGCATTGTAAAATATATGTTTTTCAGTTTATTTTTCTAATTTTCAAATATTCCTCCTTAATAAAAATGATAATTTTTCAATGAAGGAAATGGTAGTTACACTAAAAAGCACTAATATTCTGCCCGTGTGAATTGTTTATTACAGAATTAAATATTTTAAAAAGAATGTAGACTTGCAAAAACCAACAAGGACCAAGACTGTTATCTGTACAAGACGTAAACAGACTTTTTTACGATGGGTAATTATTGTTAAGTACTTTTAACATTTTTACATTGACAGGAACATGTTTCGAAATACTTTAAACATTCGTTTGCCCTTTATTGTCACAGAAGTCGACAGAATTGCCAAAAAAGTCCTCACTTCGTGTTTTTCTTGATTAATATTACCTTTTCACTTGTACATATAATTCCTAGTTCTGTTTGCACATAAATATAACATGCAAAACTATGTATTTTTACCTATTCACCGTAACTGAGAAAACTGAACTGACTGTATTAGAAGTTTTCTTGAATTATCATTTGCTTTTGATACTTATTTGAAAACTGGCAAAACTTTTGCATATCACAACAACCTGACATTATTCGTGTTCACAAACACAACATTCCATTATCTATATACTATTTTGTCAACACCAGCTGCAATCCTTTTATTAACATGAATACTAACTATACTTGACAATATATTTCTACATTGCATATTCTATAGAACAGTTGTAACTTGTCAAACACGTTCACAGACTAAACCAGTACAGTATGTATGTTGTATTTAAGTTTTCGCATTTTCCAAACAAAACTCCGTTTAAAAAAAATAACCATCGACGTTTTGTCATAAACAAATTGATTTTTAAGCATATTTCAAATATGGTGTGCCGTAATGATTTAGTAAAATACATGTTTATTCTTCCTCTTTACAAACTTTGTTTAACAAAGTGTAGCATCATAAGTTGTTTTTAAAACTGTATATCTATTTATTTTTATCATTCCTCCATAACTTTATCATATAAGTGAATACCATAGTCATTTTTGGAATCAGTAGTAATTGAAGTATTGTTATCTTGCTAGAACATTCATTTTAATTCTAGTTATTTATAGAATTTTCAATATGTTAACATAATATTTTCTTTAATTAAAATGATTTTTTATTGCGTTTTCCTGCTCTAATTTGATGTCATTCCTAACAAGTTGAAAGGCTCTCGTGTCCAGTCAAATTTTCTCTTCGGGTCAAATATAATCATTCCTCCCTTACAATTAACGTTATCACTATTGCCTTTCGATTTTTGTTCTTCAAATTTTGTCGTTAATCTGGAATATTTTGAAAAATAGTCTTTTGTTGTTTTCTGAGTTTTTATTTTGCTCAATAAAAAAGATAATATTGTCCCATCTACACTTTGGGAGAATTTGTAATTTTATCATTACTTAATTTTGTTTTCGCTCCGTGTTTATTTCTAAGAAAAGTCCCCATACTTTCTGCTCAAATTATAAACAAACAAGGAGAGATTTGGTCGCCTTGTTTGATTCCTCACTCTATTTTGAAAACAGTGGAAAAAATTAATCATCTAGTTCATATATCGATAATATGTTATTATTTTATGTGAATGCACATAAATCCTCTGACATCTTATACATGATTTGTCATGACACAAGCTCAAGAGCCCTTTAGATACGGATAAATAATAATATTCCTGACAAATATTTTTCCAGTGTTTGATTTGGATTAGTATAACACTTTTACGATTTCACCTTTATTTATCTGCCTGTAAGAAATATTTTAAGATTTTCATTCGTGAGATTATTATCAAGTAATCATTTTATTCTCCCCGCCAAACAGGAGAATTGTAAATATCGAGCAAAGGTATTGGTTCCTATTTGTTATGAATTCCTTGAGCTCTCTTTTTTAGGTAGAATCGCTATTATTCCCTGTTTTTGTGTTTAAGATAGCAGTCTGTCAAAACGCAATCAGGGAACCACCTCGTGTCTTACAAAAATGTATACCCATTTGAATTAAGAGTTTTGCTCTTTTTCAACAGCGTGGCCTCCGTGACTGCCAAATAAGTGATTTTCCTTCTAAATCTAAAGAGTATCTATCATTAAATCTGGTCATGTCATACTGTCTTAAGAGTTTTGATAAATGTTTATATGTTAGATGAAAACTTAACGTGTTTAGTGTTAAGTGTTTTATAAAATAGTTTTAAATGATAGTATTTTTCCTGTAATATCATCTATTTTAGCAATTGGTTTATAGATGTATTTTTGCTTGTCCAATCTCAAAGTAGTGTGTTGGTTTCTTTCCCTTTTCTATCACCGAGCTATGACTTGATAGCGGTTAATAATTCTCTGGTTAGGTTTAATCTGTAAAATATTTCTCAAAGATTCTTATCTTTCAAGTAATATTTTTACGTTGTAGTAAACATACGGTTTGGAGATTATGTAATTATGTGTTTCTTTGATTAACCCGCTGTGAATAAAAAAGCAAAATTGATATTGTCCTAAATACTATGTAAAAAGAATAAAATTTGGTTTATATAACATATTTAACATTGATATTTATATCATAAAAATAATAAAGAAAATAGTTCGGATACCGGTAGTTGTCATAATAACACGACTGAATATAGAAAATAATAACAGATTTGCATGAAGAAAGTCAGAAGCTTTTTGTTAACAATAAGGAGAAGTTATCATATCATATTTATTTAAAAAGTCATATATCTATACATTTCATACTAAATACAAATTTAAACAAGTACTTACAGGAAAAGGGCACGAAAACAAGCCTGAGAGCGTATATTAATCCATTCTTTTCAGACAAAAATTACATATCTGAATGGAAAACACGTTAACTTTTCATCTAACTTAAATAAATGACTAACCTTTTAGAAATAATGTTAAAGTATCACAGTACAAAGTAGAGGGTGTATGTCTTTGCAAGAGTCAGGTAAATACAAATAAAATTATGTTCCAAAAATACTTCAGTCATCTTTAAGTAAGACGCAGTTTATAAGAAATGTAACCAAAATATTATGGGGGAAAATGAAGTAATGATAACTTGATGAATATATCAAAAAGGGTTATCGTACAGGGGGACACAGCAATACGAATATCAAAGACTATGCAAATTTCATCTGGTAACCATGGAAACAATAATCAAAAATAAAATTACGTATTTTCTTATAGTATTGGGGGAGTATTCAAAATCAAAGAAAATGTCATTTTTTTAAAAAATTAAAATTTGATGTATTTGGGGGATTGGGGAGAAGGCTATCAAGCAGATCCTGCATGGATTTTTTTTTCTAAACTTCGCACAGAGTTATAGATGTTTGCATACTTATCTCTATGGTTATGTAGTGTTATGTTTATACTGTCGGTACGTCATTTCTGTTTGATATGAATTCCTTCATATGCAAATTGACCGTTTTAATTTGTCGCTGTTTTTCTTAAACAAGAATGCGCTCATAAATTACAATTGCTAAAACGACATTAGTGAACATTTTATTGCCCCATCAATTTGATAGTAGACACATAATGTCATTTATAGTCATAATCTTACTGAATTTACATATAAAAAAGTGTTACATCATTTTAACAGATAAAGTCCTAGCGCAATGTTTCGTATCTCCATTGAAGAAAAGAGGCATACTTTTCTGACTTCTGAGTTCTGAGCTTGCAATAGCACAGACTTATATACGAAGGAAATCTTTTTACTTTTATTGTGTTATTCACCGTCGCCGTAACAGGGACTACAACGGAACCTCTTTTTATTGTTACAGTAATGATTTTTCTGCAACATTACTGAGAATAATTTCAAAACTCCCTAACAGACCAGCAACCTATATCTGTCTTTGTATAACATAGCGCTGATGACATAATTTATGAGAAACACATCTTTTCTTTGAAATCGGCAGAAGTGTGGTGTAACTCTCTATGAAATATAATACCTTTAAAGTATTTATTTAAGCAGACTAAAATTTCATCGTAATACCGAATTTTTACAAAGAAACGCACTCAGGAATTAGCTGGCTCACAATGTATGAAATGGGAAACTACATACAGAAACTTCAACTAGCGCAATCATAATTTAGTGCACATTTAATGCACAAAGAAACCTCTAAAATGAGAATACCAATACAATATGGAAGTTTACAGTACTAAAAAACAACGATTTAAACAGTAATTAAAGTCATCTGTGTAGTTTGGATAATGTCGATATTTCATCCACATCGCAAAATGTCATAACAAGAAAACTACATAGAGTGCACTCCAGAAAACATTGAGTGCACTCCAGAAAACATTGAGTGCACTCCAGAAAAACAATAGTTCATCAAGGCACTCCTCCCAAACTCATTGTTCAGCCACCACACAGTGACGTCAACAATGTATTGTTGTCATTAGGAAACGAAATTGTGCCCTTGACCTATATTACTGACTGCGTAACAAATTGTAAAACAACATTGAAACTTGAAATATGCCGCAAACAAATTTCACCGTTGAACTGTTGAAAGAAAAAAGATAAAATTGTTTGTCAATTGTTCCAAAAAGCAAGTGAATTGTAAGATCAATTATCACGTTAGTACAAAAGAGCCCGCTAAACCTCACTACTACATAATTTCAAAACCATGAAATAAAAACTTGATTAAAAAAGAAACGAAAGGCTACAACATTAGTGCCATTTTTTGCTTTTTTAGATAATTACTCAAGTCGAGGTGTGGAACCAGTAGGTATTAAAAAACATTTTTCACGTCAATCTGGCAAATGAAATTTATTACCCGATAAATGTCTCGCGTATGCGGTTTCAGCATTTTGATATATTCAGCTCATAAATCATTTGTCAATGTCGAATGGCGTGAGCAGGGGGAAAGCCATGCCCATTAGGAGAGCTGATCCATCCAGCCCCCTCCGATAACGAAACTAATAGTGTATTCCTTACCTGTGGTTGCCGTTGGTAGCGGGTGAAACTAGTGTAGGTAAGTAAGTTGCTGACCAATGTCAAAGTTTAGCCAACGGTCAATTATATGTTCATTGATGTGATTTAATATACACATACTGTTGTATAGAAGTTTGTAGAGGTGTCTAAAAATGTTAACATAAGTTTGTAAAGGAGAATTGGGATATATACAGAAGGTGTTAACATAAGTTTGTAAAGGAGAATTAGGATATATACAGAAGGTGTTAACATAAGTTTGTTCTCCAAATGTAAAGTTATATAATGTATGCATAAGACCTTCCTGACCTTCTGGGTATGTCTACATAGACATGAAATCCTACACAGGTAATACACATATGGTTGTTTCCACATATGTACACGCCATATTTTAAACAGATGTGTTCCTGATGTTCTTAATTCACATTTTCCTTTCTTAATTCACATTTTCCTCTTAAATAACCCGCAACTATTCAAGTAAAACATAATGTCAGCTACTATTTATTTTATTTTATATCATTTATCATAATAACAGCACGAGTAAACGTTTAAGATATGTAGAATAAACAGAACCTCTTATTGCTAAACCACAATCAACAGAAATATGTCGTCAAAGACTACTCAATTATTTCCCTTTTAGTTTCCTCTCTGGATATAATTTCCAATTTTTGATTGATTTTCAATATTTTGTTCATATTGTATGCGAACAGCTAAGATTAAAGTTGTATTTCGGGGGACTTTGACAAGGGCAAGGGGTAAACTAACAACATACCATTAAAGTTTCTTTTCTGTAATTCCTAGAAAAACAAGCAAATGTTTTACGCTCTACCCTTGTCAGACCTTAAAATCAACTGTAAACCATGCTTTTTCTAGCTATTTATTGATGCGGTATTGGCGCGTCATTTAAACAGGGGAACAAATCAAGAGATCAAATCAATAACCCTCACGGCACCTTTCTTTAGGTACCTTTGACACTCTTTTTTCCACTCTGGCTCACTTACCGAGTTGTATTTTGTGACTACAGAATGCAACTTGTCTAAATTTGTGTCCACTTAAAAACATTTACAGATATTATAGCCATTTTACTAAATAGGCATACCTGTATACATGTCATGTAAATGTCTTGTGACCTTTGATGGAGGTCTAGCTGTCCAAACATTGCCGAAGGATAATATTGTATACCTATGGCTGTGGCGATATACATTATTTGTTGATCGCTTCAAATATGTATGGTCGCAAAATTTATTAACCGTATGAGGAATTGATAATATTGTTTATTCACGTGAAAAGCTATGAAGCATTATACATAACAATGGGTATAATTGAGGCCTATCTGCTTTGTAAGGTAAGAGTGCATGCGTATCAATATATATGTTACTTAACTAATACTTGTTAACGGTACTATCGCTTACCTTAAATTATTAATTACACGTTTTTGTGATTAACCGTAGACCTTACCCCAGTATCGTGATGTTATGGCTGTGCGAAACCTATGATCCAGTTCAGTGTCATGACGATATAATAGAATTATAACCTTTGAAATTGCTCCATTGCACGGTGTCACTTCTACATATGTTGTTTTTGATTTCTAATACAACAAAACTACAGAATATTAACCTTTGACCCTTCCTGATAAATGTGCAACATATTTTTGCAGAAATGACCGGTATGGACACTGACAATAGAACATTAACCTTTGACCTTGATCCGTAGTCATGACCTCATGAATACGGCTATCTAGCTACCCTACCAGGTAATGAAAATGTCCATAGCGCATTATTTTTGACCCGTTTTGTTGCAGTGTTGCGATGTCACGTTTAAAACAACTGTATTGCCTTGCCTTGATACTCACACTGACCGCTGTCCAGCTGCGGCCGGTGGCCTCGGACATTGATGGCGGCGTTCTTGTTGGATGTGGTAAAGTCCTCACATAAACGTGGCATATATTTAAATCCTGAAGAGGAATGTACCCCGCAGTATTCAACGTGTTACAGCCATCTTGGTTTGGCTTTGCCTAAAATGCTGTGTGCTCTTAGCCAAAGTTCCCATAAATCACTTCTGAAATTCATTTAAACACATTTTGTTATGATGGTAACATTGTTCCAAGAGATCCAAAACGTTAGAAATAGCTTGCAATATTGTTGATATTATTAACAGAATATTTTTTTAAATGTTAATTCGATCTATTTTTGTCTCGCTTCTCTTGATACTTTTTTTACAAAGTCGACATCAGATCCGCGCTATCACAAGGAGGCAACTACACCAACACACTCTGTCTCCAGCACACATACACACATGCACGCTTACACAACACAAATGGATGCACGTCCTTAAATGACCTTAGCTTTTTATACGATGCTAATCAAAATAAAATTACACCAAACCAAATATAAATGACACACTACATTAAAACATTCAATTATATATTTGTTGATAATACTAGGTCTCCCTAATTAATAACAAAAAGTACATGCTCCAAATGATAGGGTCTTGATGACAATTTATAACATTCTAGTATATGTCTCGAAATATTACTAATACCGGGGTCAGTATTCATGTAACCGTTCTCATGTTAAAGCATGGATTTTTTGTGCTTAAGCCTTATTTCTTGTTCGAGTTATAACTTAATTGAAAACAATCTTATATTCTAAATGATTTTGACTTGATGCCGGTTGCTATTTTTAATGTTTACATTTTACTTTTTGATTGTTTTACATGATTTAAGCGAGTTAAAAGAGATCTGGTGTGAGCACAAAATCCATGCTAGAGCATGAGAACGGTGTCATGAATACGGGCTCGGATCGTTTTGTATTAATACACCGATTGTATTCCAGGTTTGATCAATCTCTTCTTTTTCCGGAAGGGAATCGACCGAGGGAAGTCGAACAACGAAAACAAAGGGGCTATTGACCTTGCAACAGCTATATGTACCCAGGAAAATATTCCAACTCCACAGGACATCCCGGAATGTGTAAGGTGCCGTTTGATTTCAGATCCGACGCTATGTGTGGCACCGTGTAATTTGGTTTTCCAAACTCTCTGTACTGCATGATGTGGCCATAGTCATGGTATCAGCGTACCTTTGATGATGACCGTACTGGGATTGGAATTTTACAGTGCTGGAATTGAAAATACATTGTGTAGTTAATCCATCTTTATTTTGTAAATATTGTTAAACTTTTCAATATTGCTGAAAAAATGAAATGTTGAGACAATAATAAAACGATAGAAGAAATATATAAATAAATATAAAATCGATAGGTTTATAGTTCGCTAAACTGAAATGATACATTAATACTACTATATACAGCTCTTGAAGAGCATGTAATAAAACAATGTACATCACAGATATTGAAAAACTGTAGCTTATATACCACCTTCAGGTAACAATTAAATTATCGTAATAAAAAATGAATCACAATATCAAATGCGTGGCACTTTTTTTTTTAATTTCGAATAAGAGTCATATCGAAAGGACACAATCGGAAATCAACGTTCCTGGGAACGGACGACAAAGGGAACTCAAAAATAAAAGGAAAAATAGAATTATGGTCCATGAACCTTAAAAAGAAAATATTTAAGAAAACGTCGAAACAAATAATAGCAAGACCATGTGTTTCGGAAAGATTAATGTCCATAATGTCCATAACGTGAACGTAAGACACCACAACATTCATTACATCTATGGATTTCGTGATTATAGAATGTAAAAAATGAATTACATTGCATCATACAACTTGTTAGCCCTTTACAACACCAATGAGTCCCAGAAGGTCTACCTATTTGTACAGCAGGTTACGATATTCGAGAATATTTTAATTTGCGATTGAGAGGATACAACTTCAATAGTCATATCAATTATTCATGGAATCAGTGTTTGCGGAATGTTTAATTTGCGATTGAGAGGATACAATTTCAATAGTCATAACAATTTTTCATGGAATCAGTGTTTGCGGAATGATTAATTTGTGATTGTGTGTCCCCGCAAATAACACCAACGATAAATATTTCGAGACAATAATTAGATAATTATTAAATGATTTTATCTTTTTGTTTGGTTAAGAAGTCAAATAAAAACACTGTTCATTCTTGAAGTTAAAACAATAATATGTCTGACACGTGTGTTCTATGGCTTACTGTTGATTTCGTAAAAGTACCATAACACTAAATGGGCTTATATTTGGTGTTATTGGTGACGTCTCAAAAGCCGCATCAGTGTCAACAAATTAAAGAATATGATGGTATGGAATGGTTTAATCATTTTCGAAAAGGATTCGGTTTGAAATGCCTCAACATAAACTAGTTATAACGGATCAATGTCTTTTTAAATACAACTGTGATATCGCTTTGATGGAAATGTAATTAATTAAACGATGAATCATAAATTACATTACCAACTTGTCTATGTTTGTTTGAAAATTTGAATATTTCTTAAATACTAAGAATGGCAGCATATGACAGAATTTAATGGGATATTAGTGAACGCAGGCATTGCTTCCTCTATTTCAACATCAATATAAATTGATAAAAATTGTGGTAATCATCAGCCTATATATAAGACGTTGTATGATCGTACTTCAACTCAAGGTCTTTCCAGAATAAGTTTTCTCAAAGTCAAACATACGTTACGAGATGAAATAACATTTTGTGGGAAACTATTCCAGAAATCAGTTATTCTCCTGAGTAGAGTAATGGTTTCTAATATTTGTGTACTGTGTGCACGAGTTTGTTACTAGAGCGGCGAGATCAAACAATCCCTCCACCAAGTTTTGAAAGTTTTGTTTGTAGATGCAGGGTGCCTAACGATGTACACAGATATCTGTACCATATTTGGTCATTTTGTCCGTTTAGGCACTTTATATGTATATTTAGATAAATATCCTGTTACTTATAGTGGATAATGTTGATTTGTATGCCTCTTTTTTATCTACGATATTTATGAGTATCGCTTAAGGGATACTACATTTCATGTGTTGTAAAATGCCTAGAGTAATTTTACTAATTATATAGGGCGCTATATAAATGTTGTTTATAAGTATTTATTATTATTATATGTCAAATGAATGAAAATTCCAAGTATTAGGTGCTCGTAGACATATTTAACAAACTGCTGGCTACAAAACACAGTTCATACTGATACTAGCATTTTGTGTAAAACCTGTCAGACCGGCCAACCTCGAGGACGACCAATCCTATTATGTAAAAATTATTGATGAAATGCAGACAACTCCGTCGTCGTTTTCCTACGTATCATCGCCGCAAAAGACGATGAGTGATGAAGAACAGATGAATATACAGCGTTCTTCGGAAACGCAGCGCGTGGACGTATGGACAGGGACCCTATCTCTGGTCAAGTCTGTAAAGCGTGGTTCTCTTGGAGGGTCACATAGACCATGGTGAACAGGAGGGGTTTTTATTGACGGGAAAGGTTTGATTTTTACAGATTTCCACAACATGAGGCTAATGCTTTTTGATGAACAATACAACTTCATCAGACACTATGATGTAGACAGCTCGCCAACTGACGTCACACATTGGTTTACAGCCGCCGAGATGTTGGTGTCACTTTATTACAAGATGGTAAACTAACCGAGGTCGACTGGATCAGTACCCCTTCAGGTACAGTGGGTGTAGCTGTTCAAGTCTGGGGGCAAATATACTGGTAAGAACTTCTGACGCTGTACAGATTATAAGAACTAACAGGACACAAGTGAAAACCGTTCATAAACGCGGCATCAACACCTACATTGCCGCATCGCCTCAATAACACTTTTACCACTAGGATGACAACGTCATCGTGTGTCGGTCACATGATGGGGGGCGGTGGGGGGATATCTTTCGACGCCCGTGTCAGGGTATGAGGGAGCCACGCGGGATCGGTGTTGACAGAAACAGTAATGTTTATGTGTGTGGTCAGGTATCCGGAGACACCGCTTGATATCTCCAGACGGTAGTCGGGACAGGGTACTCCTCTCAAAGGCAAAGGTGTCCGGAATCACTGAGCCGTATGCCATAGTGGTACACCCTACAAGACAGGACATTGTAGTGACGTCAAATGAGGAAGACGTGGTTTTTGAAGTGTTTAAGTTCTGTAAGGAAACGGGTACCATAAAATAAAAAAGATGTAATTACAAATAGCATTTTTGTGAAATATTTATTTGTTTATGTAATTTTCTATTTATGTACTCCATATGAATAAAAAAAATCGATGCACTTAGGGGCCGCGGTGGCCAAGTGGTTTAGGCTCGCAAAATAGGTTTTCAAACTACCTTTTGTGTTCAAAACAAACTAAGCATTAAATGTTTTGATCAATACAGATTTTTGGATATTTTTCCTGTCTCATTAATGTTAAGGGTAAACTGTAGAAATGTATCGAGAGAAACTACAAACTACCGGTAGAAATAACAGTAGTACAATTTTTACGGCGTTGATATTCTTTGTAGAGGACTAAAAGAGAAACTAAATAAAACAGCAACAGTAAATCTGTTATCCAATGAAGAGGATAGAGAAGAGAAAATAGAAACAACATGAAACATAAAACTGGCACAACACACCCATTCAATGTACAGTCTTGCAGCGGGCTATTAAAAGATAGCACTATCTATAAGGCACTGTTTTTGAGGAAAACCAGTGAAAACCGGGACTTGCAAATCACAACCGAATATACACCCGAAGAATAACAACTTATCCAGCACAACATTTGCACTAAAATACTCGCCTCTCAGAACACTTCTGTCCCGGATTAACAAACATTTTCTTAGTGATGAATGTATATGTTCAGTTTGAATAAAACACACCGATAAAATGATGTTAACTTGTTAATTTGCCTTCATTACCAATGTGGTCGACCCAGGGATTTGTTTAAAATAACCACATTGTACAGTTGATAGTGTGTTTGCCTATTGGCAAAAAGATTGAAGGTGTGACCAACACATTTTACCCTTGTTGTTCACCGAATTCGCGTGGTGATTATCCTTCTAAAGAAGGATTTACAGAACAGAAAAGAACGGATCATGCTCACAAAGGCCAACATTTTATAGTGCGTGCGCTGTCTTTTTTCCAAATTGTTTACTTCCTTCATGTCTGGAGTATGGTTTAAGCATCATACAGTTTCCCAGTGTACAGTGTTAAAATTGCAATTATAAAAAACTGGCATATGAATTATTATTTCGTGATCATATCAAGAGGTACTCAACAACATGTAACAGTATTTGGAAAAACCAAAGACAAAACTAATTGCAACGCAATAAGGATAACAATTCAGGTTATTGTTACTTAAGGTTAGTATGACGATGAAATATATGTACTACAATAGCCGTATGTGGTAACTGAAAAATGCTTTTTGTTTGGATTAATTTTTTTTTTTCATAATTTTTAATACCTTCTTTGCATATTTTCGAAACAAGAGAAAAAATCGGACAGAGAGACAGTATTTGTTGAAGGAATCACAAATGCACTAGGTCAGTAAGTCATATATAGGCTTCCCTACACACTCTCCTCTCCGAATTAACGAAGAATGAATTGTAATTTACTGATATATCAAGCGATGACAGTGTTTATAAAGTTTCATATAAATATATAAAAAGTTTTAGTGATCTGAATTCTGGACATAATGAATATGGAAATAAGAATTAACAGTGCTTTGACTAAGGATTTTGCAAAAAGGGGCATAACTCCCATAAAAGTAGAAGGATCAAAATAACCGAGAGATATTATCAAACAAGTATCGAAGTTAAAATATTCCTAATGACAGGTAATATTTCGAAATCCATGGTTGAGCAACTCGTCTTTAAACTTAAATTTGGAATCATTGGTAAATAAAAACAATAAGAAATAAAACAGGAAGACATAATCTAATGTTCCTTTCGTCAATTAGTTATGTGAAGTTATTGGGAAAGAAAATGTTTGCTGCATCTAACTAATATGCCCCAAATAATCAGCAGTTTTCTTTCGTGTCTTTAACTAAGAGGACATTTAAACAACCAAAACTGATCCGCTGCCACCATTTCAACACCTGGGATCTGTCACTGCTAGCCTTTCTTCTCTACTGCGGCGTCTCCATAGCGTCTCCCTAGCCCCGACTCCCTAGCGTGTCTCCTAAGCGTCTCCCTAGGCAACCGTCTCCATGTGACCTTAGCTGTTGCAAGGACTAAAACCACAAAAAAGTTTCTTCACTGGCAATTGACTCCTGCATTTGAAGGAAGCGAGTCACAAGTATCTAAAGCAATAACAACAAAACTAGTCCTATAATATGTTTAAAAGCATTTTTTTTATATAGTATTTACTTCTTATATATTCAAGCAGTTATGATTAAATAGAAAATATTCAAATAGTCTGTCTAGCTCCGCCAATCATAGACCACAGAACTTGTAGACTTCCAAAACCACTTCTTCCTGGCTTGATGTTACAATGACCTCCTGTCTTGTTGGATGAAGCATTATAGCGTAAGGCTCCGTGAACCCATACATTTTCGAAAGTAGGAGAGTATCTTTAGAACCGTCTGGAGATATCAGGTGAACCCCTCCTGACAGCTTACCGCAGACATATACATTACAATCCTGGTCAACGGTAATTCCTCGTGGTTCTCTCATTCCCTTGCACATATGCCGGAACACTTCCGTCCCATCACGTGATCGACACACAATGACGTCACCATCTCTGTGGAAAAAGAATCCGTGCGGAGATACAGCCACATACGTATATCCACCACTTTTACTAAAAGACTCCCTTTGTACCCCGTTTGATGTTAAAAACTGCACAGTATTATTTTTCCCAATCAGTATTTTATCTCCGAGAGTATTCACACCCCATGCTTTTGCACTAGTTATACTACCGACCGTGGTAAGGACACCTCCCTGAATTGCGCACCTGAGGATTGGTGCGTTCAATAGGGCTATCAGTACCTCATTAGGTGCAAACCCCTTTGTGATATCAGTAGGGAAACCATCCACATCATACTGTCGGACATAGTTATATTGATCGTCAAACACCAAAATTCTCTGGTTGTTGAACTCCGTTACATAAAGACCTTCTCCGTCTATGAATACCCCTCCTGTCAAAAAAGGCATTTTTTGCCAACCAATGACACTTCTATGTACAGATTTGATCAGAGACAACGATCCGGTCAACACGTCTACGCGCTGCTTCCCCGACGAAGACTGAACTGCTACCTTCTCTACAGCACCCTTTATGTCCGAAGAGGAGGTGGATTCGGTAAATGGTGTTACGAACGGTGTTGACTGTAGCGTGTCAATAATTGTTCCGATAGACGTGAGGGCATCAAGTGAGGTTGGTGATAATGAAGACGACACGTCCAACGTTCCTATATTTGTCATCACATTCGTGACCTTTTCTAATGTTTCGTCATATTTGATTTTCATTTCGAAAGTGTTGTGTTTGTCTTTGGTCCTCTGCTGCAGTCGTCGTACATGTCTAATAATCTGTGTCTTGGATTGCTCCGCTGTAATAAACTGTTGACAGTCCGATCCTCTTTCCTTCATCAGCAACATCAACTGATTGGTGTTTTGCACATTTGTTTGAAACACCTTATTGGTACGTAATCGGTCCAATAAGCTGTCTTTATTACGTTTGTATGTGTGATCGAGGCCGGTCTCGAAATCAGCCTGAAGATCATCCAGTTTATCTTTCGCTTTCTTAATCATTGTGGCCATGTCTTTGGTCATTGACTGATAATCAGTTGCGAGGGCTGTTAGTTTGTTTTCGTCCTCATCGACGATCCTCTTTGACTCATTGTTAATTTTATCTATCCCACTTTCAACGAATCCTGGAGTGATCTTCTTTGTCATGTCTTCTAGACTGCTTACATTCTGGCATGATCTGTGTGACAGTGTCACACACAGAACACAACACAAGGCGTTGTGGTCGATACAATATACTTCGATCGTCTTCCCCGCATGATGAGGACATGTTTCGTCAATGGTGACAGGCAACTGTACATCTGACTTAGTAACCTCATCTATGGCAATGACGTTGTGCTTGGAAAGTAACGTGCTTCGTCGGTGTGCCACTCGACACTGCTTGCACAGGACCTCCTTGCAGTCTCTACACCAGAATGAACCAACACTCTCTTCACCATCGGTAAGACACCCATGGCAGAAAGTCTCACTAGATTCTGTCTTCTTGCAAGTCAAGGATCCGAAATTCGGATGTAAAGGAAACGACCCGGCCCAGGAGCTAACGGGAGCCTCCTTGTTGTTAGGGGAACAAGGACTTTCACACACCGGACAGGGAAAATATGTCCTGTTGTCCTCTAAAACGTATTCGGAGTTGATGTAAGTGTCTAAACAACTTGTACAAAATGTATGAAAGCACGGTAGCTGACGGGGTATTTTGCACTCACTGAGGCATAACAGGCACTTGTAAGACGGGTTGTCTTTATGTGCGGGGACCTCCGCCATGATTTTTGTCGGTGTATCTGTAAGTATACAAAAACGAAAATTATACATACATTGTCCCAAGCATTCCAATATCATAGGCGTCATTATTATCAGGGAAGAGATAAACAACTGTTTTACTGAGATCTTTTTGTGTGCGTTAATGAAACGATACAGTTAATGCAGTTTAAGTTGTAAAAACACTGTAAAATGTAAAAATGGCAATTTTCGCGGTGTGGCAATATTCGCATTTTTCCAGTTGAGTAAATTAGCGCCAATAAGCCACCCGCGAATATTTATTTATTAACTACACAGAGTATAGATAAAATAATGTATAGATTTTAGAACCATTGCAAACTTTTCCAATGCGATCAGTTTAACAGGTCATGACACGAACATTTACACACGCGAAAATTTCGGCATTTACAGTACTTAGGGAGAAAAAGAGGTCTGCTGTATCAGACAACAGCTATTATTATGTACCTACTTCTTAATTTTTTTATTAATGAGAGTATTATATCATTGTATCGTACACATTAACACACCTATTCCATTTCAGAAGTATAAGGTCTCGCAACTAGAACTGACAAGATGGAACTAAATTAGGTAATGAGTAATGATGTTTACCCGGATACTTCTTATCCTGAAGACAAAAAATATTATTTGTATAAAATACAATGGTGTTTTACACTAGTATAAAAATGGGTAAATCTATTTTTACAATAGTATATTCATTATTTCAGGAATCCAATCAAAACTTATTCCTAATCTCCGTTCATTGTTATGAAAGAATGAAAACTCAACCTATACACAATTAATTATATATTAAATACGGTTTATACATATACGAATATAACGTCTAATAATATATTCAAAATCCAGCTGATGTTACGCTATGTCAGATGTGCTTTTTGTGTAAGATTTAAATAACTTATTGCTTGTATGTAAACAAACCCTGAACAAAAACCTACCATATTACACTTTACTTTCGTTTTCTATGTCATTATCACAGTGATTGGAAGATATGAAAAACTGATATTCAAACATTCACTCCGCATTAGATAGAATTCTTTGATATGTATTCCATACCTTGCCTCCTGTAGCCAACACTGTATCCCCTGTTAATCCACGTGAAGAGCGGGTGGTATAAGTATTTACTTCCGGTACACACATCTGTGGAAATAATATCATGTATCGATCTATGGGGATCATACACATGTCCAAACACGTTTCAACGGAGAAAGACAATCTTATTTAAAACCATCTGCATATACCAAGATGAAAGCAAAATTGTCGTCTAAAACGTTTAGTAGTCTATAATAAAATATGTAAACAATCACTGTGTTTTAACTACTTTCTGTTTCTGTACAGGAAAAACTTACAAAGATATTATCTTACTTTTTATCTAACATTTAAAAGACTAACAGACATCAAAACTATTGAACCTTTCAGCTGTCAACGCTATCTCGTGATGATTCACCTTTACAGTCTCGACATTGTTGAAACGATTTTCTTCCTGTTTCTTCACTCTGGTGTGTATACATGTTGGTGTGTTCTGCCTCGTTTTCAATCTAAGGGAGGTAACTCGAACTAAAAGATAAAATGTTCACAAACGACTGGCACTGAAACGTAGATAGCGGAATTACTTGCATAACCACACGCAGCTTTGATTCTTTTCATGAATATTGCCAAATAAAGTTATTATACCCACGAAGATTCCGAATTACAAAGTACTAACAGGTTAGATAGAAGAATGTCATCTTTTCAGAAACAGAGGATTCATTAGTACAAACTGGTAAATCGCACGCATTGTATGAACATTTATTATGACTGTAGATGAGATAAGTCCATAAATGAACAACATAACATACTCCAACGTTTATGAAAAGAAAAATCTACTCACAAATGTTGCCCTTGCTTACCGATGCATTTTATTTTTTTATTAAATATCAAAGATAAGTATGGACATTACAAAGTTCAGACAGTCATATAGAAGGGGCAGTACAGATAATAATTTGCTATGCTGACCGTCAACATTTATTAGTTCGTTTAATTATGCGATGATTGTTTCCAAACATAGAGATAGTGTGTGTTCAATGTGAGCACTCAATCAAAAGAATTTTCCTTAAATTTCTGCATGTCACGTAACGATTAGTCTAGTAAGAACATAATCTATCATAGTTACCTTCTAATTAGGATCATGTCGTATGAGTTTTCTCATTTCTCATACACCTATGAACATACTTTCATAATATTATTAGCTTATTTATTTTTTATAAAATGTATATCTTGTCAAATACACAAATCGATGATTTGGTTTTTCCTAATAAAACGTTTTTTTCACACAATACAATAGATACCCTTTTATTTGTCTGCTTGAAATGTGTTATGTTCCAATTTACCTCTAATATTTTCAATAAACTTTTTCAGTACGAAATGACAAAAGTCATTGAAGTAGGTTTCTTATCTCAAACGTGTAAGCATGTTCTCCCGAAGCTTCAATAGAAAATTCAAAATCGAATTTATACCTCTTTTCAAATTGAAAACAAATTGGTAAAAATGCAGCAACAATCTAAGAGAGAACTCGTGCGTGTTGCCTGTTTTAACACGTAAAGCAACCATCTAGACAAAGAAATGGTCTGATGCCTCCAGTGTTGGATCTTATATCCGCCAGCGAGTAGGAAACCTGGGGGAACTAACATACAAACAGTGACCATCTTCTATTTTCTTCATCTCTTCGAAATAAACACGTACTCTCTCGCTTCTATCGATAGAAAAACTGAATCGTGGTGTTACTTTACTGTTTATTTAAATAATATATCAATGAGAGTATGACAGTGAGAAGAGCAAGAACAAAAACCACAATTAACCGTTCATCAATGGCGAATCATTAAACGTTATCAGAACTGAGCACCAAAAACGGCTCAAATATTCCACTACAAACCATCTTGTCACTTCACAAATGGTTCAAGGCTGTAAGGAATCGTGATACATCAATCGTTTGTGAATCCCTTTAAAACCACAAGACAAATAGGGCAGAGGGATGAAGGACAAATGAAAGCCCATTCTTGAGATACGTTATCTACAAAAGGAAGTCCAAAACCTCTGAGTTATAGGACCAAACAATAATTAAGGTAATTATTTCAGAAGAATGTTTGGTTGTCGTCTATTTTGTAGATACAGAAACCAATTTCCCCAATTTTCAAAAGAGGACTTTTCAGTCAACTCTGACATGGAATAGAGATCTTGAAAAGTCAATCAAGAACCTAAATCCAAATAATTGAGCAGGATCAGACGGTGTACGTCACAAGCTTTTCAAAGAAACACAAACTCATATCCCTGAACCATTGAACATCATCTGCAAATAATTCACCACGGAGGTAGATTTTCAAACAGAACAGAAATGTCTGTCCAATACATAAAAAGGGTTCCACCAAGCTTACCAAAACCCCTTGACCTCACGTCTAAACCAGTCGCTAAACCAAATTTTCTCTCATTTCCCTGTTTGTAAAGGGGTGTAGGACATTTCTTTCTCCCACCCTTCACACGTGTATCTCCCGTTTTAGCCGGGAAAGATCAGCTTGTCACCCCCTAGGGGGAGATAGCTTCGTGCCGATTAGTACGTGTGCAATAGTGACGTCATTGAAATGCGTCATCGGTAATTGAGACGTCATCAAAAGTGAATGACGATATGCATACCCCACATGTGTGTTTGTTTTCAAACATGGCAGACTACTGTCGGTGGAGCTGTGACTGAAATAATAGGATGGGAGAAAAATATTCATCCCTTCCTTGAGGATCTAACAGAGAAATCTCCAACCCTCGGGGTGACTTTTTGGTTGTCTTACAACCAAAAAACACCCCCCCGAGGGTTGGAGATTTCTCTGTCCCACCCTAAAGGTAGGGGAAGATTCTATTAATCTTACATCCCATTTCACGTGACGTGACGTCACAATGGCTCAACAATGACGCGACGTCACGAATTTGGAACTCTCCGATGCCGCAATGCGGAAAAGGCGACGTGATGAAATCAAAACCTTTTACTATATATTTACCGTACACGTTAGAAAGATGTGATTAACTTTTTTGTGCAAAAGTTGTTTGCACATATGGGATATGCTTAATCTGGCTGGCCGATTCGTTTTCGTCTAAAAAGCTGGGGGGTAAATTGATATTTTCAAAATGGTTGCCAGTCCAAACGCATTTTTAAGGTTTCTGGGCTTATCCTGGTTGTTGGAATGAGAGAACAATACTCTTTCATGCCCAAGGGTGTAGGATAGGGATATTCGACCCTCGGGTAGAATGTCCCTATCCTACTATCCTGGGCATGAAAACAAAACAATCTTAATTCTGTAAGGCTTTTGTCATTAATTTAGGCTAGTTTTGCACAAAATGAAAGCGTGCGGCACCACAGGAAAACTAATGATTTGATGATCATTCAACCATACCTTTGTAAACAAGGAAAGACAGCGGAATGGTATGATGCCGACTTTATAGTGCTAAGTGTGGTTGCACATTGAAATGGCACTGTGATATGTAAACTCCTCATTTAGAAAATATTATAATCATTATGACGTCATACTTGTTACGTTGGATACCACTGACTCTCCCTGAACAGATTGCTTTTTAGTGTCAAAGGTGACTGTATGCCTTACCTGTAGCTGTTGATTAGTTCAACAATGGCCAAGGTCACGGGTGAATAGTAATTAAAAAATATACATCAGAGTGCCTTGTTTTAAGTTAGAGAAACACCTTAAACTGTAGATTAGTCAAGATAATGGACAGTTAGTTACCTGTAGTTGTCCAAGAAGTACGCAAAACAATCCACTTATTGGACAGCTACGGGTAACGTATTGGATGGCTACAGGTAACATAATGGACAGCTAAAGATAAGCTTTTGAATGAGCACATAATTATGCTATACAATGGAAAACATAGTAATAGAAAAATAAATGTGAAAATAATATTTATTAAATGTAACACAGAATTTAAATATCAACATTCTTAAAGGTATATCCGGTATTAATATTCCCATAGTCAGATTTCCCATGCACTATATTTTTTCCTTGAAAGAAGGTTTGAATCACGGAACACTCTTTTTACATAAAACACCCATATAGATGCATATATATCCAAGACACATTTCCAGCATTAATTTTAATTTCCTTTGAATTCGTAATTTTGGCAATAATACTTTGGAGTTGAGGGCAGTTGAAATCTTGCGTTTTTCCCACAATTTATGTGCACAAAATTTCTTTCGTATCATCCCTTGAGATATTCGTTTATAATCCCAGATATATAGTTGTGATATATGTTTGATGAAAATATTTTGGAGGTGGTGTTGAAATCTTGAATTTTCTCACTTTAATCGTGTGGTTTAATTCTTTCATTTCATTCTCTAACATATATAATCCCAGAAATATAATGCAATCACATTCTTCAATAAATCAATCACATTATCAGGTTTTAGTCAACTAATTTCATCCATTTCTTCCATTCATTTAGAAAACACTGTAGACAAGGATCACTTTCACCATATGAAATATATTTTTTTAACCACATAGTTTTCTTTTATTACATCAGCTAGAGTCATAACATAACAGAGATAATACCATGTATAGTTCTGGTTCTGTAGATATAGGATTTGATCAGAAGAAGAACTTCATTATCAATGCGATTGTAAATGCCTGTATTATTTACCAAACCAAATAACAAAGTTTATTTATTAATAAGTAATGTAATTGTTAGTGCATTTAACAACCTTTCAAAACTTGCCAGAAAATTCAGAACCTCATCGCATTCCCAGAACATATGCACGATTGTCTCCCTTTGGTTAACCTTAAATTGTAGCCAACGGAGTTTAGAACTTTGAGTTGATCGAAAAGGAATACTGTAAATGTTTTTCCATTTCTCTTCATTACAGTAAAAGATATTCGCCCATTTTTGCTGACCAGTTATGTTAATATTATTTCTCAAGAGTAAACGGTAGCAGTCCTGCGACCCTATTTTTTCTTTAGGATTAAGAGGAATAATCGGCAACGTCAATGTTCTACTTGGAGATGTAAAAGGCCTCAAGTATTTCTTAATACTTTGAATTACTCCATAATACTGTAAATAATTTGTAATTGAACCAAACACAGTACATTAAAATTATAAAAGGAAAAAGTTCTATTGTCTTTTATTAAATCATTCACTATAGTAATTCCTGCATCGAATCTTTTTTCGTAGAAATTTGGTTGGTTATGAACAAGAACGTTTTTGTTAAACCATACTGGAGTTTTAAGTATCAACTCCTCGTCATCATTCATATTTTTAACAAGTTCTTCTTTAACTCTTGGATTATACCAAATCTGAAATAAATCTTCCCAGAAAATATTTTTACATTTAGTTTTCGCTACGTGTAGATAATCATTCCCACATTAAGATAAAAGCTGAACGTCTACATTTTCTTTCGTAATTCCTAGTCATTTACCAAGTGAGCTTAAGATTCTCCTGATCCAGCCTAGCTTAAGAGCTTCTATATATTTCTTAACATGAACCATTTTTAGACCTCCTTCAATGTACAATTACCTCTCTCTTAACTCTATCTGTCTTACTATTCCATAAGAAGTTGAAAAGGATTGAGTTCAGTTTTTTATAAAAGCATCATCAGGATTGGGTAATGCAAAAAAAAGAGGATTGAACTGAGTGATAAGTAAAGTTTTTATTATACTAATTCTCCCTAAAGGAGTAAGAGATCTACGGCTCCAGCACTTGATAAGAGATTTGAGTTTAACAAGTTTTTATAACTCAGATATAATCAAACAAGTATCGAAGTACCAAATGACAGGTAATATTTCGAAATCCATGGTTGAGCAACTCCTCTTTAAACTTAAATTTGGAATCATTGGTAAATAAAAACAATAGAAATAAAACAGGAAGACATAATCTAATGTTCCTTTCATCAATTAGTTATGTGCAGTTATTGGGAAAGAAAATGTTTGCTGCATCTAACTTATATGCCCTCCAATCAGCAGTTTCTTTAAATAAGAGGACATTTAAACAACAAAAACTGATTTGCTGCCACCAATTTATAACACCTGGGATCTGTCTCTGCTAGCCTTTCTTCTCTACCGCGGCATCTCCCTAGCGTTACTCCCTAACGCGTCTCATAAGCGTCTCCCTAGGCAACCGTCTCCATATGACCTTAGCTGTTGCAAGGACTAAAACCACAAAAAAGTTTCTTCACAGACAATTGACTCCTGCATTTGAAGGAAGCGAGTCACAAGTATCTAAAGTAATAACAACAAAATTAGTCTTATAATATGTTTAAAAGCATTTTATTTTATATAGTATTTACTTCTTATATATTTAAGCAGTTATGATTAAATAGAAAATATTCAAATTATCTGTCTAGCTCCGCCAATCATAGACCACAGAACTTGTAGACTTCCAAAACCACCTTTTCCTGGCTTGATGTTACAATGACCTCCTGTCTTGTTGGATGAAGCATTATAGCATAAGGCTCCGTGAATCCTGACATTTTCGAAAGTAGGAGAGTATCTTTAGAACCGTCTGGAGATATCAGGTGAACCCCTCCTGACAACTTACCACAGACATAAACATTACAATCCTGGTCAACGGTTATTCCTCGTGGTTCTCTCATTCCCTTGCACATATGCCGAAACACTTCCGTCCCATCACGTGATCGACTCACAATGACGTCACCGTCCCTGTGGGAAAAGAATCCGTCCGGAGATACAGACACATACGTAAATTCACCACTTTTACTAAAATACTCCCTTTGTACCCCGTTTGATGTTATAAACTGTACAGAATCGTCTTTCCCGATCAGTAGTTGGTCCCCCAGAGTATTCACACCCCATAATTCTGGACTACTAATACTACCGACCGTGGTAAGGACACCTCCCTGAATTGTGCACCTGAGGATTGGTGCGTTCAATAGGGCTATCAGTACCTCATTAGGTGCAAACCCTTTTGTGATATCAGAAGGGAAGCCATCCACATCATAGTGCCGAACATAGTTGTATTGATCGTCAAACACCAAAATTCTCTGGTTGTTGAACTCCGTTACATGTAGACCTTCTCCGTCTATGAATACCCCTCCTGTCAAAAAAGGACTATCTGATCCACCAATGACACTTCTATGTACAGATTTGATCAGAGACAACGATCCGGTCAACACGTCTACGCGCTGCTTTCCCGACGAAGACTGAACTGCTACCTTCCCTACAGCACCCTTTATGTCCGAAGAGGATGTGGATTTGGTAAATGGTGTTACGAACGGTGTTGACTGTAGCGTGTCAATAATTGTTCCGATAGACGTGAGGGCATCAAGTGAGGTTGATGAACTGCTGCTTTCCCGACGAAGACTGAACTGCTACCTTCCCTACAGCACCCTTTATGTCCGAAGAGGATGTGGATTTGGTAAATGGTGTTACGAACGGTGTTGACTGTAGCGTGTCAATAATTGTTCCGATAGACGTGAGGGCATCAAGTGAGGTTGATGATAATGAAGACGACACGTCTAACGTTCCTATATGTGTCATCACATTCGTGACCTTTTCTAATGTTTCGTCATATTTGATTTTTATTTCGAAAGTGTTGTGTTTGTCTTTGGTCCTCTGCTGCAGTCGCCGTGCATGTCTAAGAATCTGTGTCTTGGATTGCTCCGCTGTAATAAACTGTTGACAGTCCGATCCTCTTTCCTTCATCAGCAACATCAACTGATTGGTGTTTTGCACATTTGTTTGAAACATCTTATTGGTACGTAATCGGTCCAATAAGATGTCCTTATTACGTTTGTATGTGTGTTCGAGGCCGGTCTCGAAATCAGCCTGAAGATCATCCAGTTTATCTTTCGCTTTCTTTATCATTGTGGCCATGTCTTTGGTCATTGACTGATAATCAGTTTCGAGAGCGGTTAGTTTGTTTTCGTCCTCATCGACGATCCTCCTTGACTCATTGTTAACTTTGTCTAGCCCACTTTCAACGAATCCTGGAGTGATCTTCTTTGTCAAGTCTTCTAGACTGCTTACATTCTGGCATGATCTGTGTGACAGTGTCAGACACAGAACACAACACAAGGCGTTGTGGTCGATACAATATACTTCGATCGTCTTCCCCGCATGATGAGGACATGTTTCGTCAATGGTGACAGGCAACTGTACATCTGACTTAGTAACCTCTTCTATGGCAATGACTTTGTGCTTGGAAAGTAGCGTGCTTCGTCGGTGTGCCACTCGACACTGCTTGCACAGGACCTCCTTGCAGTCTCTACACCAGAATGAGCCAACACTCTCTTCACCATCGGTAAGACACCCATGGCAGAAAGTCCCACTAGATTCGGTCTTCTTGCAAGTCAAGGATCCGAAATTCGGATGTAAAGGAAACGACCCGGCCCAGGAGTTAACGGGAGCCTCCTTGTCGTTAGGGGAACAAGGACTTTCACACACCGGACATGGAAAATATGTCCTGTTGTCCTCTATAACGTATTCGGAGTTGATGTAAGTGTCTAAACAACTTGTACAAAATGTATGAAAGCACGGTAGCTGACGGGGTATTTTGCACTCACTGAGGCATAACAGGCACTTGTAAGACGGGTTGTCTTTATGTGCGGGGACTTCCGCCATGATTATTGTCGGTGTATCTGTAAGTATACAAAAATGAAAATTATACATACATTGTCCCAAACATTCCAATATCATAGGCGTCATTATTATCAGGGAAGAGATAAACAATTGTTTTACTGAGATCGTTTTGTGTGCGTTAATGCAACGATACAATTAATGCAGTTTAAGTTGTAAAAACACTGTAAAATGTAAAAATGGCTTTTTTAGCGGAGTGGCAATATTCGCATTTTTCCAGTTGAGTAAATTAGCGCCAATAAGCCATACGCGAATATTTATACACAGAGTATAGATAAAAGAATGTATAGATTTTAGAAACATTGCAAACTTTTCCAATGCGATCAGTTTAACAGGTCATGACACGAACATTTCTACACGCGAAAATTTCGGCATTTACAGTACTTAGGGAGAAAAAGAGGCCTGCTGTATCAGACAACAGCTATTATTATGTACCTACTTCTTATTTTTTTTATTGATGACAGTATTATATCATTGTATCGTACACAATAACACACCTATTCCAGTCCAGAAGTATAAGGTCTCGCAACTAGAACTGACAAGATGGAACTAAATTAGGTAATGAGTAATGATTTTAACCCGGATGATATTAGTAAACTTCATATACTGAAGACAAAAAAAACATTATTTGTATAAAATACAATGGTGTTTTACACTAGTATAAAAATGGGTAAATCTATTTTTACAAAAGTATATTCATTATTTCAAGAATCCAATCAAAACTTATTCCTAATCTCCGTTCATTGTTATGTAAAACTTGAATATGAAAGAATGTAATGTCAACCTATACACAATTAATTATATATATTATATATATATTAAATACGGTTTATATATATACGAATATAACGTCTAATAATATAATCAAAATCCAGCTGATGTTACGCCATGTCAGATGTGCTTTTTGTGTAAGATTTAAAAAACTTATTGCTTGTAAACAAAAACCTACCATATTACACTTTATTTTCGTTTTCTGTGTCATTATCACAGTGATTGGAAGATATGAAAAACTGACATTCAAACATTCACTCCTTAGATATAATTCTTTTATATGTATTCCATACTTTGCCTCCTGTAGCCTTCACTATATCCCCCGTTACTCCACGTGAAGAGTGGGTGGTATAAGTATTTACTTCCGGTACACACATGTGTGGAAATAATTATATCATGTATAAATCTATGGGGATCACACACATGTCCAAACACGTTTCAACGGAGTAAGACAATAGTATTTAAAATCATGTGCATATACCAAGATGAAAGCAAAATTGTCGTCTAAAACGTTTGGTAGTCTATAATAAATTATGTAAACAATCCCTGTGTTTTAACTACTTTCTGTTTCTATACATTGAAAGCAAAAACTTACAAAGATATTATCTTACTTATTATTTAACATATAATAAAAAGACTAACAGACATCAAAACTATTAAACCTTTTAGTTGTCAACGCTATCTCGTGATGATACACCTTTACAGCCTCGACATTGTTGAATCAATTTTCTTCCTGCTTTCTTCTCTCTGGTGTGCATGTGGGTGTGTTCTGCCTCGCTTTCAATCTAAGGGAGGTAACTCGAACTAAAAAAACCCACCGCAAACGACTGGCACTGAAACGTATTTTCAAACAGAACAGAAATGTCTGTCCAATACATAAAAAAGGGTTCCGCCAAGCTTATTAAAACCCCTTGACCTCACTTCTAAACCAGTCAAAACCTTGTTTGCAAATATGGATATGCTTCGTTTTCGTCAAAAAACTCGGGGGGGGGGGGGGGGATTGAATTGATTTTTTCATAATGGCTTATTCTGGTGGTTGGAATGAGAGAACAATACTCTTTCATGCCCAATGGTGTAGGATAGGGATATTCGACCCTCGGGTGGAATGTCCCTATCCTACTACTCTGGGCATGAAAGAGTCTTATAGTCCTACATGTGAACAGCAGTAACTTATTTTCATAAGGTCCGTACGGTTTTAGACCAGGGCGGTCATGCACAACGAAACACCAAGAAGTTCTGAAAGACTGGGCAACTGCCATAGATAAAACGGAAAACAAATCCGCCACTTTAACCTTAATTCTGTAAGGCTTTCGTCATTCATTTAGGCTACTTTTTCACAAAATGAAAGCGTGCGGCATCACAGGAAAATGAATGATAAGATGATCATTCAATCATACCTTTGTAAACAAGGAAAGACAGCGGAATGGTCTGATGCCGACTTTATAGTGCTAGCTCACTGAAATACCATGCCGAAGGCTCCCTGCATAGCATGCCGCCCGGTCACATTATACTAACAGCGGGTTAACCAGTTGTTGCCATTACCCTAAATGCTGATCGTTATGCAGGGAATAACAACTACCATTTGTAAGGACTAGTTGTTATTCCCTGCTTAACGTTCAGAACAGTTACATGTCTTAAACAATCAACATTCTTCAAACCTGATCCAGGTTGTGTCATTAAATGTGGCCCTGTCATTTGTAGACACCGTGACAGAGGACGTAAACTTATCTTATGACGTTTATGTTCTGATAGATTTAGAAAATATTATAACCATTATGACGTCATAATTGTTACGTTGGATACCATTGACTCTCCCTGAACAGATTGCTGTTCTGTCCATTAAACAATCTTATACCACACGTAGGCTAATTTGAACCAAATGCTTAGTTTTGAGAAAGGATGGAGTAATGTAGCGGTCCCGAGTTCACACCCCAGCCCGGCCGTTTATTCTCTCTTTCTCTTGTCACAAAATTCGCGAGCTTGCCAACCCCTGTTTCAAGCACTGGGTGAATGTTTAACAAGGGGATATCCGAACCCGAGTTGTAAATAATTGTGTCTTCGCGGGCGAAGACCAGTTAAAGGAAGGAGTGAGGAATGTAGCGGAACTGGATTGGGTCGATCGTCGATGATCAGGTAGCTCAATTGGTTAGATCTTCTCTCTAGAGATCGGGGGGTACCGGGTTCGAACCCCAGTCTAGCCGTTGCATTTCTCTTTCTCCTATGTCATAATTATCTTTGATTTGGTTATATTATGTTTAACGTTATATTAACAGCGAATGGCATTTAATGACGTGCCTTCGTGTGTGTTGTGCATACGTGCTTGCGTGAGTGTGTTCAGGAGATAGTGTATGTTGGTGTTTTTGCCTCCTTGCGAAGGCGCGGATCTGATGCCCAGTCACATTATACTGACAACGGTTGAACCAGTTGCTGGCATTCCCCTTAATGCTGAACGTTAAGCAGGGAATAACTACTACCATCTGTAAGGACTTTGATATGTACCGGCCTTCGTACAGAACACATGGCCTTTTAAGCCAGAAGTGAGGACTCGTATTGCGGCCAAGCTATTTAGGCGCTGGGAAATAAAAGGCAGTTAGAGAGAAATATAAAGATTCCAACTATTGCAATGGATGCAACAGATTTATTTTGGTCGCTTTGTGTCCCAAAATAGAGGACACAAAAGCAAATCCCCGATTCTGCAGGGGGTTCCCACATTAGTTACCTCTTTTCCCCGATCCCATATAGACATATAGCGTGCTTTACTGAGTTTGTCTTTGTCCAGTAAGCATTCACATTGTCTATGAATGCCATATGAAAGCAGTTAAAAGCTAAAGTGTCGTAGGGTGCTAGGGTAGTAGTCAGTCGACGGCGTAACATTTCAGTCCATGCGTTTTTCCTTTCCAGTTACAGTGGTATCTGTGACCAACCCTTGTTTAAAGTATTTCGTGTACGCTAAGCAAGGGGATACCCGAACCTTGGCTGTAAGTAGTAGAGTAGTGTCCGTCTAAATTTCGAAGGGACCCGAGTTCGAACCCCGGTCCGGCCGTGCAATTTTCCTCTCTTGTTACAGTTGTATGGGGTGAAGAGAACAGAGAACAGAGAACAACAGAACTCCGACTGTTTGTGGCTGGTAAGCTTATACCTATTTTGCATGTGTATTATGCAACAGTACAAAACAATCTCCGCTAGAATTATCCTTGTTTGTCTACCCGTGTTGACGTTGTTTGTGCATGTGTCACTATCGGTGGTGCGCGTCTTCCTCTTTTGTTGCCCCGCGTCGCACAGGTAGGGTACAGGTAAATAGGAGACGATAGGTGTATACAACAATTGTATGTAAATCAATGTTTCTTTCACAAAGTATCGTTTTAGACCAATTATCTTGGGAAGACCAGGCCGGCGCGCGATGCTATATGACACGGGTCCCCGCGCAGTCACGGGTCATTTCTTGAAGGTCACATACCATTGAATACAAAAGCCGGGTACCCTGTACCTTTTCTCAGGTAGTCTGTTTCAAAGGGACATTTAAACGGATTGTCGTGGCTGGAGTAGTATACAACGACACAGAATGGGGGAAGTTAGCTAAGGGAATAGCTCGCTGGACTTTCGACATGTCGACGTGATTGTGTACTATGGTTTACGTTTCTTTGACTACAAGAATCGGACAGACATCTTTCTCACGATGCTGAAATGGGTTCGACGACGGTAAGTGTCTTTAGACATGTTTGTCAACTTTTGTCTGGGATTTTTAAAACATATGTCTTCATCATGAATCTGATACATTCATTGTGTGTATGTGTACCCCACTTAGGGAGGTTGTTTTACCATACAAACGTGCAGCGTAGAAAACGGCACGCTAGAGGATACAAAATTGTTTCAATGCATTCAACTATGAGAAAAAGTCATGAGGTACAAACATGTCACCGATACACTTCGTTAATATATATAAATAAATTTTAATTCAATATCCAGTCTGTGAAATCGTTTGTGAAAATATTTATACAATGGACGGTATGTGGCGAAATTAAACTAGCATTTGGCGACAATGTCGTTATAGTGTTTTCCCTGAGCTTACAAACTGTATATCAAATTGATAGGTTAAAATACTTCCTAAATGCAATAAGTTATACTAATTTATATTACTAGTGTGTAATCTTACTGGGCATTGATATATATATATATAGGTGTATACATTTTAATAGATTTTTTCCTGAACCTGCCAATTTTTTGAAATTTCCAGGGGGGAGATTCTGCATGCTCAAAATTAAAAAACATATATAAAAGGTGTGTATATACTCCATTGAGGGAAAAAGTAGCACTTTTAAATATAAAATTTGTAGCTGTTCTTTACCATAAAATCATTGGATGTTAGAAATTCAGTGGTTGAAAAAAGGTATCTCTCCTAAATAGGTTGAGTTCGCAAGTATGCAATTTATTTCATAGAAAGTAGAAGGATGTCTGTAAAAAGGTATGAGTATACATTCCTGTACATGGTGTTTTCTCATTGAACCCTTCCTTTTAATTTTCAAACTGCTGTATTTATGAAAACTACTGTTTTCATTGAAATTTTCCCATAGTGGCCCAAATGGGGAGCACCTTGAGCCCTTTTCCAAAATCCCAGATCATTTACTGTTAGTTGGGGAAATATTGATTGCTGAGATATAAATGATTCATATATAATACAGGGAACAGATTATGTTCTTTGTTACAGTTGATCCAAATCTGTCCATATCTCATTTAGGTACAATACTTTAAGGATACAGGCTTACCTTATCACACATGCACTGACCTTTTCAAAGTAAAAACACTTCCTGACCCATTAAAACTGTGACTCTTTCTGGTTTTGCTAAAACGATAAATTAATGATGCATATGAGCAACACACAAAAATGCAAGCCTTTATAAATTTCAAACATCAATGGATTTTTCCCTAAAATCTGGATGGTCAAAACACATATTGTAAAAAATGACATTTCTTTTCAATGATGCATATGAGCAACACACAAAAATGCATGCCTTTATAAATTTCAAACATCAATGGAATTTTCCCTAAAATCTGGATGGTCAAAACACATATTGTAAAAAATGACATTTCTTTTCAATCCCAAGAGAGAAAGCTTATTTTGGGTGAACCAAAAAGGGAATCAGCCAAGAGTCTACTGAAAGTCCTGAAAGGCATTGTTAAACAGCTGTGTGTGGAAATTCAGTCCAGCTCCGGACAGAACAGATCATTGGGGTTTTAAACCTGTGTTAAGTCTATAGGATTTTCTGTATGTATTTGAAATAAGGTAAACAGAATGTTCCAGTCTGCCCAGTTTTATAAATGGGTAGGGTAATTTTGGGAAGTAAACCTTTAACTGAATGACTTTTTCCCTTCCCGATGGAGTCATATCTTTTAACTAATAGTTGTCAGTTACCAATTCAATTCAATTAGTATTACAATCTCTAAAATATGTCTGCTCACCGACCCTTACATCCACTCTACTATTCCCCTATTATTTTAGACTGTAAAAGTATTACATATATGTATATAATTATGAGTTAAAAGTTACCACAAAAATGAAGGAGTGTAAAAAGTGACTCACTAGAAGGAAAACTACTTTTAACTATATTTAGAATCCATTTTCAAATCAAGACGAAATGTTTACAACATTTCGGATGTTTACAGTTTTTTTGCAAAACTCCAGTGAAATATGACAAGCTCAGTGTTGTACTTAGTTTGTAGGTCAAGGTTGTAAGGATTCTTGGCTGTGCATCGCTGAATCTATTCAGGTG